TGCGCGATAAATTTCTTGCTACATTCACATGGTTAATGTCCACTCACCAGTATGTAGATACTAGTCAATGTGCGTCTTTATATTTGGTCTTATAATCCTAATTAGTTTATTATCACACTTGTATGCATTTTGAAACTAAATAAAAAGCTGACGATCTGCTGATACTTATAGTGAATTTATAACAGAACTGTAATATCTAGACATTTTATAATTTGCCAATGTGAATCATAATTCGCACACACACCCTAGTGCATGTTGTCTGTCTCATTACACTACACGGCGAAAACAATGATTCTGTTGAATGCTACGACAAATGAATAAAAACAAAATGCAAATATTAAAATTAAAACAGATTAAAGTTATAGGAACAATATCAGGCCATTACCTTGTTCGAGGAATGTATCCATCAATATCCACAAAACTGTTCCAAATGATGTGTCTTTTTACAGTTTAATATACGAAAAAAGTGATAAATCTTTTCAGGTATTGGTGTATACATGTAGTCTCATTGGTCACCCAAGATAGCACACCTGGCAACTAATTGCATAATGTCCGCCTTTCTTTAAAACAGTAATTTAGTTAGCCGATAATGGGCAATCAATCAATGTATTGCCGGTTAATCCTTTGAAAGAAGGACGTTGTTTTACGCAGACACCGACACGACAGAGTGTATTCAGTATAGATTAGTAAATCTACATACATAAACACTACCTTTTGACAATTCCGCTGTGTAAGATAAAAGTAATTAATCAATCAGCGTGTTATCGGTTAATCCTTTGATCGATGTTTATAATGTTGAATATTTACTCCAGACACAAGAAATGCCAAATGGGAACCTTTGTCGGGTAATCTAAGTGTGTTACCACTAATTATACCTGTTATAAATTCATTAACTGACCATCAAGTGAATTATGACAAATAACATGTGTAGGTTTATACCACCTAACACGGGTTACAACGAGGGAGTATTAATTGCTGTATTGCATGTGAAAACTTATGGGCCGACACTGTTTTGAGAATACAAACAGATTTTTACATGACATGATTAAATATCGAGGTAAAACAACACAGAAACGGGATCAATTTGGATCAGGCATTATACAAATAGGGCCTAACGACACCAATCGATTTTGACAGAATCGTCTATGAAAACAAGTTGTAACTCGGAAACTAGGCAAAGCAGGAGACAAAATTAAATGACAGTAGATTGTGAGAACATATAGCTTTCATTTTCCACAACAATTGTCACGATTTCAGGTTTATACAAGCCTGTAAACACGATAATTTACCCCTTTTATAAAGATACAAGATAACAGAGGAGATTTCAATAGGGGTCAGTTCACAATTTATGGCGGTGGTGGGGTGTGTGTGTGTGTGCGTGTGTGTGATAATTTTCACGGAGAAGCCTGTACAATGTGGATGACACCCCGCTATAATGTATCCATAATTTTTTTCAGCATAATTTTCAAATATTTATATGTACAAAATTGATGACCCCCTCCCAAGTTCATGTGTACAAAATGGATGACCCCCCTGCCTCCCCAGAACAAAATGGGTGACCCCGCTTAAGAATCATCTACCCCCAACATAAAAACAAGAAGCAACATTTAAATTCACTTTAAATTGTCCACACAAGATATGGCACTGAGTCCTGTTATTCATATCACTTGGACTGTTACTCATGACTATAGCATGTCATCCAAAACAAAAAGGTAAGGTCTTCAATGACCTCCATTTAAAGTTCTGTTTTCTTGGCACTTTGAGTTGCCCAGGGATACCTGGAGGGGTGTGGTGTCACAGATTTTAAGTCTTTACTCTTTGTAGAGATATTGAGAATCTTTGAGTAAATGACTTCCTGGAATAACACGTATGTTCAGGATCACTCAAAACCAGAGTCAACACTTAAGGCTTCACCTCTTTGACAACTGGGTTTACTGGTAAGTACTGGTAAGTACTGACAATCACATTTACGTCCAGTGCGGGTTCGTGTGTGTTGTCTGCCTCTTCCACTTCCGGTGTTGTGGAACTCCATTTTCATTGTTTATATGGATGGTGCCTGAAGGCAAGGTTGCACCTGAATTATGTATATATATTCTACTATTCTAATACAACTGAGTACATAGTATATAGCCGCAAATTTAACGTTATATCAGTTCCGCTTACGCGTCCCAGATATTTAACTAAATTTGCAGGTATATAACCACCGGTTATACGTCCCCAATTCGTGTTTTGGTTTAATAAATCCCCTAAATTTTAATCATAACATTTGCAGAATTGTTTCTAGTCAAGAAATGTGTAGCAGTTTTTTGCATCATGTGTACTGATTTTGGAATAATACCTCAGCAAGTGAGTGACCTATCCCTGCTGTAGATTATCCCTGCTCTAAGTGTCCAGACTGCCACAAGGCAGTTGTTTAGTTCTGTGATTGTAGATATACATAGCAGTGGTGGCTTAACTCCGTGACATTTTGATACCATAGATGCTCCCTGGTTTTGAGTGGTTACCGAGAGAGTGCGCAGAAGTATACACAATAGTGGAACGGGATTAGGTTCTTCCCAAAGCCTTAATAAGGTTAATTAAGGCTTTGGGAAGGTCTTGAATACATTATTGTGTATACTACTTAATCATTTAATCTTGATGTGTAAAAGACATGTATTCTTCAGTAGCCTTAAAAGGACAACGATCTAAGTTCATATTGTGATAAAACCCTTCAAACATATATTCTATTGAAAAGTTCATTGCCCGCAAAACCCGTGAAGGTCCGGGTTAGAATGATCCTCAGTAACCCATGCTTGTCGTAAGAGACGACTAATGGGATCGGGTGGTTGACACATGTCATCGGTTCCCAATTGCGCAGGTCGATGCTCATGCTGTTAATCACTGGATTGTCTGGACCAGACTCGATTATTTACCGACCGCCGCCTAATAGCTGGAATATTGCTGAGTGCGGCGTACAACTAAACTCACTCACTCACTCATTGCCCGCAAGAACAATAAAGGGGCTATATTTGAAAAAAAATGGGCTCCATTGTCTGATGTTTTTGAATAAGTCTCACGACTTCTTGCTTTTCATATTATTTCTTTTCTTTGCTTGGTGTTTATGTGCACTGGGTGCCCAGTAACTAACGATTTGTAGGTTTATCTTGGCATGGTATGTCATTTACATTTCATGACTTCTGTGTCCACTGCTTTAACATGCTGTGCCTTAACGTTGCAGTATCAATTACCTTCTTTAAAAGGGAAGCTTCATCATTCCCAATCTGAGACTGCTAGTGAGGCTTAGCGTGTTAATACCAGATTTGAAATTGTCTTTGTTACGAACTATTTCCTGCACTACCTGTAACCAATATTCCATCTATGTATACACCACCTTCGGCTGGTATCCATGTTATCTGATTTTGCTGGAATAAAAAATAACCAACTTCAAAGTGTCTACTAAAGTGTATTCAGTTTGAGTATACTAACGATTTCAATTGTTTTTCGGGAAAAGCGTTGTGCTGTGTTTTCTCAAAACGTATCGAGATGTTTGCTGTGGGTATACAATGTAATACAAACATATTCTGGTAAGTTAGAATTGATATATGCTCAGCTTCATTATTAACGGATCACCAAGGTAAGCATAGTTCAAACAGCAACCAACAAACCTCAGTAAGTATGTAGACAACATGATCAACGAATATGTTGTGTTGGCCTGGGTCAACGGATTGGGAGTTTTTATGAAACACGCCTTGTGAAAACAATAAAAATTTCGATATTGCAGCTGATGACAAAATTTAGGCCTGGCTATCGATACAGATCATACACATCGATAATCGTTAACTAAATACCGATCGATTATCAGTCGATCAAGTGATGTTGATCACTGGATTGTCTGGTCCACCGCCATATAGCTGGTATATTGCTGGATGCGGCAACAAACCAAACCCAGACATTTCGATGTAAGGCGAGAGTTAGCTCCCCTTACATACCGAAGGAAAATATTCCAGAAGATGCTCCAAATCCCTGGGTCAGAATTAAGTGGAAAGACCAACAGTAATAACCAAATAACGATACCTCTGATACAAGCTATCAAAGGAAAGGGAAACTAAAAGGCACTGTTTGGTTGCGGTAATGCAGAAGAATGGAGTACTTATCCTGCCTATGCCAAACAGGCTGGTTTTGATCTCACCTTGTCCCTCTTGGACGTTTTCGTGGAGTGACATGTGACAGGACAACCAGTGTTGTCATCATGTCTGGAGAACATTGACGCTCGCCATGCCATCTTTAATCAAAACGTATATTTTTCGATTTAGCTTTTCTTTGATGTGTTGGTGGTGGTTTATTTAAGTAGTGCTGCAATCTCGTTGTGCTGAATCTCACAAATCCTGTTTGTCATTTCAAATGGAGATTTTGGTTCTATGAACAATGTATTTGTTCAGGGACTTGGTGATACTCTGGGTGTGAAACGCAAGCCTGATGAAAATTGTATAGGAATCGATCAGTAAACATAGTGACACTTAGGATTCCACATGGGCCTGTAACGCAAACAAAACTCTGGCATCAAGGTGCATGTGTACTGTCACTGACGTGGTATTAACACTATCTAAAAGATTCCTCTTATAATGGGTGAGTGAGTGAGTTTAGTTTTACGCCGCCCTCTCATAAGAGGGTGGTGAGGTAGCCTAATGATTAAAGCGCGCACTCGTCACGGTGAAGCCCCGGATTCGACTCAGCTCCTGGGTACAATGTGTGAAGCCCATTTATGGTGTCCCCCGAGGTGATACTGCTGGAATATTGCTAAAAGCGGCATACTCACTCACTCACTCACCTTATATATGGTGCTAATACTTCGATGCTATTTTTGGCGTTAAAGCCCCCGTGAACTGAACTTCATGTTGACTATTCGCGTCAATGTTTTTACGTTAACGTCTTTCAGTGGCACTTTACGTGCTGTTACGTCAATGAACTTTACAAATTAATACACACCACTGCCGAAGTAGTACGATGGCAGAACAAAATAGTCAGTTTTGCACCGCTGTTAGCATTATTACTGCAATATCACGGTGGGGGACACCACAAATGGGCTTCACACATTGTACCAATGGAGTGAATCGAACCCGTGTCTTTGGCGTGACGGGCGAAAGATTTAACCACTAGGCTACCCCACAGCTTCCGTATAGTGCGAGGAAGGTTACTGAACGACAGCACTGTCGGGACAACATAATGACAGCCTTTGTTGTCAAGGCTGTTGGTCGTGTTTACCTTGCACGAATCGTTAAGCCCACACCCGTGAAGATCAGGGTTGGAATTGATCTTCAGTAATCTATGTTTGTCGTAAGAAGCGACTGACGGGATCGGGTGGTCAGGTTCGCTGACGTGGTTGACATATGTCATCGTATCCCAATTGTGTAGATTGGTGCTCATACTGTTCATCACTTGGTTGTCTGGTCCAGACTCGTTTATTACAGACCGGCGCCATATAGCTGGAATGCGTAAAACTAGAATCACTCGTGTTAAGTTCACCTCAAGCGACACAGTATACACAAAATACCATGGCCAGCAATTCATAAAGTCCATTCCTCCACTGAACACGCCTGGGACATGACAGAGAGACGTGTGCGTCTGCGTCAACGTCAACGCCAACCACGTTGATTAAACAAGCCGCAGCTCTGTCAGTGGAGTGGGATAGACTCCTTCAGATCGCCATTGAGAGATTCGTCCACAGTATTCCTCGTCCAGTGAATGAACGCTTGACAAATCGTGACGGTATTAAGCCTTTTGATCCCCAAACTTCAACCTTTCCTCATATTCCTATCGTCCTATAAAATCGTTGGCGGTGATAGCATTTACTGTTATACTAACAACCAGTTGTAATGTCTTCCCAATTCGTTAATTATTATCACGCCACGATTACTGGAAACTACTATCTTTTATAATGTTGGAAATGTTAAACCATTTCAGAATACCCCCTACTTATTTTTAAGAGTATATGCTGATGGAGAGTATATATTCATGATCTGTTGTATAGATACACGCTCAAACGGGCACGCTACATACATTTAAACAGTCCTCCCCGGGTGATTCTGAGTGAAATTACATGTTAGTCAGTCAATCAATGAATCAATCTTTATTCACTCAGTCACCACCTACCCTGGTACAAGAGCAAAAATAAAATAAAAATAGATATATTAAACCTACTACATGCGTCTTAAGAACTACATATATGTCTTAACGGGATTTGTAAAATATTAATGAATGTAGTCAGGCTTTTCAGTTCTTTTGTGCCTTTAGGTGTAAAAAGTTCACAAAAGTAATATACATTTGGGTATTGATAATATAGTTTGGGAATACAGGGGCGTAGCTACCATTATTAAAAGAAGCCCGCGTTTACACATGATTGTTGCTATATGGGATGGCAAGCCCTCAATACAATCAAGATATAAAGCTTGCAACCTATCTGGCTTACACGAAAAAAATGTCTGGTTTCGCGCCTGGAATATACACTAATCTGGTTGGGAGAAGAGCTTCACATCGAAAGTTGTAATGAAACTCGTCTCCCATTACATCATGGTTGCTTAGTGTACATAAACGATCTTCCCAATACGAATCCTTTGTATGGTCGAGATAATGACACTGTGCTTGGAGGCCATTTCAAGTTTCACAGAGAAGAAATCAATGTCGGATAATTGTAGAATATCAATATTATAAGACATCTCTTGAAAAGCAGAAACTACTAGGAGTTGGTTTGTTTAATTTATCGTTCTTCGCTACAAGGGTGAAATAACATTGAATCATTAACTCACTCATTCACGTAACAACTGTCTCAACAAAGACAGAAATCACGTTTGTTTTGACACGGCGCATAGCAAGGCTCTTGGGTATTTCACTCTTAGAAACGTAATTTGTTAATGCTGATGACATTCAATTCCTATAAGCATTGACGTTGAATATTTCGACCCCTCACGGTTCACAAGTTGTGACGAAACTAACCTATTTAGACGCTAAAGTCGCGTAACAATGGCAAAAGGACATAAAGTACATTTGTGTTCATGCGTGAAAATATTTACGTGAGATCGAAATGTCATCTCCCTTCTTCTCTGTGAGGAATATTTATTTTAATATCAACAGAATCTTTCTGAATGTGGTGCTGTAAGGTAGTCTGGTGGTTAAAGCGTTCGCTCGTCACGCTGCAGGATCGGGTTCGATTCCAACACTGACACAATATGTAAACCCATTTCTGGTGTCCCCATGCAGTGATATTGCTTGAATATTGCAAAAAATCGGTGTAAAACTATTCTCACTCTGAATATAACGAATACTGACTGTCCGTTTAACATGTTGTGCATGACCGCGTGTAAAGCGATTAGGACGTGTCATTCTGACCCACATTTACACTAGAAGTACTGGCAGTTGCAAGAGCCGCTTAGAATTGGTCTTCAGCAACCCATGAGTGTCGTAAAGGCGACTAACGGGGTCGGTGGTCAGGCTCGCTGACACACTTGACACATGTCATTGTATCCCATTTGCTTAAATCGATCCTCGTGATGTTGATCACTGGATTGTCTTGTACCGGCTCGACCATTTACAGACCGCCGCCATATCTCTGGAATATTGCGTTCAGCGTTAATCAACAAACAAACATAAATAGTTGTTACAGCATAGTTAATTATTAAAATCTGAACTACACATTAAAGAGACAATTTGGACCGCCTCGTATGTTATATATTCAGATCAATGCTTAAAGATTCAGCATGACAAAAACCTCCTCGCGTGACAACGTTCCCTTCAGTCAAGCACTATTCAAACAGCTCCGGCCTCTAGTAGAGGAACAATCGATCATGTTCTTTTTACCAATATATCACCTTGCGCCAGCTGATCTTAAGGATCTCAGCTGTGAATACACCCCAACCAGAACTCTTCGATCCCAGAACCAGCTCCTGTTAACAGTCCCCAAGATCCGCTTAGCTTTATTCGTCCAAGCCATCTTTCCAACATGTCCGTTGATCTCTCTACCTGTCAACATTAAACTTTCTGATTCTCTCATAAGTTTCAAATCTCTTTTGAAAATCTATCTCTTCAAGAGCACCTATTACTCGCTCTTCAAACTCACAATGTACATTTTGGTGCATACTATCCTCTGATATACAATGCCATTTAGAAAGTGGTCAAATGTAACATATGTTACATTTGACCACTGTCTAAATGACATTGTGTAATCATACTCCAAATATACGACAATAAACAAGGGGGATTAAAGTAACAACAAGTTGAGAGGATGCTTTGGCAGAGTCTATAGTTTGAATAATTCTTCAAATGCCGATGGTATGTAATCGGCTCTATGCAATAAGCAAGAAGTTGTCATCCATGTAGTTATGTTTCATTTTTGACTCACCAACTTCTAGAATGAAGTTCAAACAATTAGATACAAGCACTGTAAACAGAGGGAAATGGCCGTCGTCTCGCATCTATGACGTCACAGCCCGACGATGGGATTACAATATGCATGTACGCGGGTTATCAGACAGTTGTTTCTTACTGTTTAGAATATAATGAAGGTATATATTAAGGAATCTTATTGCTGTAGGAAGAGCCACGTGCCAGGATTATTAATATATGTGCTGATGCTAACGTGATTGATGACAATGGGGCTAGTTGGGGTCCATTGCATAAATGTCTGGTTTCCGGCAACTAGGCCTTTCCCTGCAGAGATGACGCCATTCTTCCAGCTGAGCCAAAATGGCCTGTACTCGTTGCAGGATACAATAGATGATTCAACATAAACTTCCATGACTGTGCATAGCAGGCATTCACGGATAACGGACTTCTGGTTCCCAAACCCACCAAACCACCTCATACGTAGCAATAGTATTCGTGTTGGGATTTGTGTGCAGGGCAAAGTTGGCATCGTGGCACGTCTTGACCAGAAATACCAGGGTAGAGGTGCCGCCAGTGATAGTTTGAAGATTGCTTGTTGATATCTGTTGGAATGTGTACGTACCGATACTGGGCGTGGTCAGTCTGATGTAAGGACCTGGAAATGAAACAATTTGAGCCTTCTTACCATTGTCTTTCATTTTATTACTATGTTTTAGATTAAAGCAAAACGCAGCGGAGAGAAGTTTGGGGGTCTTGACACAGTCAGGCTGGGTAGGCTCAGCTCAGGTACCCTTGCTCCCACGACACTTGATCTGCGTCAGTAGATTGGGATGTACCAAACCTAAGGCACCGGGAACAAAGAGGAGTCGGACAACTTGGTACTTCAGGCGCGAGGTTTTGCCATGTTTTTCTACAATTTTGTCAATGATATTACTTTCAAAAGAGACAGCAAATTCAGCATAACATCAATTATTTCAAAAGTTTTATCAAAGAGGACAATGTCAGGTGCGTTGGCTTGGAATCGTTGTGAACTTTTCCTTTTGAGGCCTTTTGTACAGTCCTCTACATATTCTAGGTCGTACAATGAATGGACCTCGGTGTCAAAGCCACAAGCATGGCAAAGACTGTAAGAAATTTATCAAGATACGCCGTCATGCCACTTAAGATACAGTGTGTGTGCACCTGTGAAGTTCCGGGTTAGAATTGATCTTCAGTAACCCATGCTCGTCGTAAGAGGCGACTACCGGGATCGGGTGGTCAGACTCGCTGACATGGTTGACACATGTCATCCAATCGATAGTGGTAGATCGATGCTCATGACGATGGTCTCTGGATTGTCTGGTCCAGACAGACCACCGCCATATAGCTGGAATATTGTTGAGTGTGCCGTTTAACAACACAAATAACAACCAACAGTTAGTGTATTAACGTTAAGCATCTACTGGCAAGGGTCAGGGTAGCCTCGTTGTATTCATTACACAATAATATACTTTACATACAATACATACAGTATTTACATTTTAAGTAAAATCACACATTGATGGTTTGGGGAAGTGACTGGTCCTGAACGAAAATCTTTGTTTTCACTTTTCCATCCAGCCTAACTTATACAAGGTGTTATCTTATCGCTTTGAGCATGCATAAGTGCATTGAAACAGACACTTAATAATTAGACATTGTTATTATTAGGTTTAACAAGATTATAATTAAAATGCATCGAATAGGGTTCGGGTGATCCTGGCACAGTCAGGCTGGTAAGGCTCATCATCAGCTCAGGGCCCTTGACCCCTCTACACGCAGCCCAGACCGCGAATGGGACTTCTCCTAGAAAACACTGCCCAGTCGAACCCACCAAGAACTTTCCGGAGAATATGTAGACTCCTCAACACTGCAGCCTTCTGCGTTACCCAGAGTGTCAGAAGGGCTGTGCTCCCGGTGGCGAACCCGGTACACTCCTGATCTGCGCCAAGAGAACAGGAGGTACCAAACCAAGGTCACCGAGAACGACGAGGAGATTGACGACAGTGTACTTGTCATGCAAACGAAACAGTTCTTAAACAAGGTGCGGTCCGCATATTTAGCATGCTTTTCCTGAATCTTGCCAATCATGTCGTTGTCAAAAGGGACAGAAAACTCAATGAAATGAAATATATATTTATCAATAAGGACAAGATCAGGCATGTTGGCCGGAATTCTGCTGAGGCTGAATATGGACCTATTCCAAAAACGTTTAAAAACATTATTTTCCCTGACGTCCAGGACATGTTCAGGGTCGCACCATGGATGGACCTCGTAGTCAAAGCAACAGGCATGGCGAAGACGGTAGTAGAAGCAACGAACCATGGCATCATGCCTTTTAAGATTGTGCCAAGGAAGCGCATCCACTCAAGGTGTTGAACAGTCTCTGTAAATCCATTTCACAGTCGGCATTTCAAATTGTGATATTTTCTTTAAGAATCACATTTAGGGGATTGCGAGTGGGAAGTGACTGGTCCTAAGCAGCAAAGAAAAAGCCCTCGGTTTTATTTTTAGGAAAAGCCTGGACTTCATCCAGGCGAAGGAGTCGGTTGGATTATTGTTCTGTTCCACACACTGCATGTACACACGATGCAATGGTTTCTCAGAAAGCTTCTCCACAACTGACCGACTCTGGGCAGACTTATCACCATGTTATCACCAATAATTCGTGTGCCCATATTCTAATTTTCTTGTATATTTAAAATTTCTGCACAAATAACCCTCTTAATACAAATGTAATTGACTGAGAGCAAAATGATTCATAATCGTGTTGTAACGTACCTGTGCAGTTAATCAAAGGTTGAGTCCAGCTGCCATCGGCCATGCAGGTGTTGTTGACACTGACGACGTCCAGCGTTACATCTCTGTAGTTTGTGTGACAGGTACATGACCTCACACCTCCTGCCAGCTTGGATTCAGAACTGCAGACTGCGTTGAGAAGAGGTTCTTCAGAACATACATCCGGTTGGTAGACATTATCTGCAGTATAAGGAAGCCAGATATTTGAAGTAGTTAAACAGAAATCTTCAAAAATAATTTTCTACAATCCAAACTTTAGTTGATATGGAATGTACTACATGCATATAGACACATATTTCCAGCGCTCTAGCGATATGCATAATTCGAAATTACATTTGCATCAAATAGAAATAAGGTTGCCAAAACGAGAGTTATATAGTGAAATACCGACTAGGACACACCGAAATGCCTCCGCCCAAAAAAATCGGAGCAATATGGCGATGAATATTCATGTTGGAATATCTGTAAAATAGTGTGAGTGAGTATGGTTTTACGTCGTTTTAGCAATATTTAAGCAATATCTAGTCTGGGGAAATGGACTTCACACATTGTATCCATGTGGGGAATCGAGCCGGGTCTTCCGCTGTACAAGCGAACGCTTTAACCACTAGGCTAATCCACCACCCCAACTATAAATGGAGGTCAGCTATTTTTGTTTTGTTACCTCTACGTCGGTGCCCACAATAATCATCAAAGAAAATACTCAAAAAGTAAATACTGGATTTGCGTCATGACGGTTGCGTCATTAAGTAGGTACCATTTACGCTGTTTGCGTCATGACGGTTGCGTCATTGAGTAGGTACCATTTACGCTGTAGGTTCGAATTCTGATGATTCTGATTTTGATTATGATCATTATGTCTGTCATAATCACACATGTGCTGGTGGGTTGATGTCGGAGAGCTGCATCCCTGAACTTTTAATAAGTAGTGAGAAAGGTACCATTATATTCCTATCTCTAAATCTACGGTGTTTCTATGAACAGCACAAAGTCCTACCTTTCAAACACAACGGCGCTCTAGTCACACGATGCACACTACATCGCCTCCCTGATGGACACGTGTGATCTGCACACGGACCCATAAGCTCCTTTGAAAACAAAAATAAAACGTATAAGCTAAAACCATAGTGTTATGTGATCAGAGATTGCTGTAGATTGTGCTGTCGTTATTGTCGGTGGCAGCGAAAGAATGAAGCGCCGGTAAAATACTCACCGTTGTAGTGGCCATATTCCAAAAAGAAGTGTGATTTGAGTTATCTCCCTTAGTAATTCCCGGTCTTCCAGTTAACACACGCGCACGCACGCACATAGCGGTCATATCATAAATTTTGACATCTTCCGAACCTAGCCTGATCTTGGTCACATGTTCCCAACATATCGTTTTGATTCGTTAACAACTATATCTGACCTTGAACTCATGTGTGACGTAATTGGAAAAAAATACCTGGCAGCAGTGACCGGTAGTCGTCCCGTCGATTATTTCATTGTAGGATCAATACCTTCTGTCTTTCATGACGACTGTTTAATTCATTTTCCTTGTAACTGGAGACATACAGTCACCATTGATCTCTCTATTGATCTACTTTAGCTCACGACATTAAGTCACCATAGTTCTCCCAACCTTAAAGTACTCACGAGAAACACATCAACACTTAAATACGGAATCTGACGTAATTTTCGAATGGTTTAGGGATGCATTTTTACTTTATAACAAAACTTGCGATTGTGGATTCAAATTCCACTATGCATACTATAGTCACAAAAACCTCAAACACTATAAAGATAACAAGACTGTTACCTTTGGCCACCAAGAAATATCACTGTGTTTCCAGCGTTGTTTCCGCGAAAGTTGGGTCGTAGAACTGTTTTCCATGTGAAGGTGGCACAGGTGAAGCCCAGGTTCGAATCCGAATGAAGAACAACCAGAATGAGCGTAACATTCAAAAGCACACTCCCGCACAACCACCCTTCCCTCAATGATGCCAAATAAACTGTTTCCCAAATAGAAGCCGTCTTCTAGGACACTAGTTTCATTAAAACAAAATAACTGAACTGGACGCATGTAAGTTAGTATGAAACTTAACATGAAAATTACTGTCATTTTGTACAGTTAGCAGCTTGATGACACAGTATCTTTATCTATGGACGCTGTGCTCCGCTGGATACTGTCAAGCTCCTGACACTGTCTGTTGCTGCACTGAATGGCCACAAATACGACGCCACCATCACGAGTCGATCAAAGATTCTGATCAATATTGGCTGGGTTGGTTGACGATTTACATGTCTGGAAAAAAAGTGATATCTACCGCCACTGACAGGAAGGCCATAGGGAGCGCGTTGGTTTCAAACACGAGAATATATCTATCAACAAGTTTATATTACCCCTTTTCAGTAAAGTACATACACTTATACTGGGTTGGGTCACACTCTGCCACCACGCTTTGCACAGTAGGTAAGATGGCTCGCTCTGTGTGCTAGCGATTAGGTGCCTGAATCTGAGGTAGTGGGTTCGAATGCCGGATAGGACACAAGCCAACAAAAGTACTAGAATCTGTACTTTAGTGAGAAAGTGTAATCCCAAATATAACATGTGGGACATTTGACCACTTTTCTAATTAGCATTGTGTGTTCATAATTCCAGAATGTTTGGCATGTTGAGCGAACACTTCAGTTTCAGAGTGAGTGAGTTTAGTTTTAGACCGGTTTTAGCAATATTCCCGCAATGTCACATCGGAACTAATATGCCAAGTGCATGGAAAAATATACTTAAAATGACGTAAAACTATATTATATAACGTTATTGTCATTCAAAAGTGTTGCCAGTGTGTACTTTACCTTAGTCCTAGGGTAACAGATATTCTTGCTAAAAGGGTGATCGCGTTGTCAGGCAAACAAATCATGGTAAGTGATGCACCCATGGTGAACTATGCTGATCAGTGCGTTCGTTTAACTGTTTTCCTCAACCTGGCACCAGATGTAGCTTTTGTGTTTCTAATTCGTTATGCATAGATCTAAATTTGAAACAGATGAGGCGGTTTCTTTTCCTCGTAGAAGAGTTTGTTTTGCTGGATGTTTAACGCCGCACTCAGCAATACTCCCCCTATATGGCCGTCTGTCACTTATCGCGTCTGGACCAGACAATCCAGTCATCAACAGCATGAGCATCGATATACGCAATTGGGATACGACATGTCAACCAAGTCAGTGAGAACTGTAGCAAAAGTGGGTAAATTATTTGAAGGAAAATGGCTATTTGACCATCGGTACCAACCTCAAGCTCACACTAAACTTCTTGCTCAAATTCTCGTCTTCTGATTTTGCCAATCAAACAGTAAATTCTGAATCGTATGTACGCAGGAACCGAGTAGCCAGGAAGGGGGAACAGTTGGCGTCCATTCCCTATTTTGAACTTGGATACGTTCACTTTTATTCACTATTTGATGGTAGTGAGTATGGGTTTATGCTGCTTTTAGTAACATTCCAGCAATATCCCGGCTGGGGGTCACCAGAAATGGGCTTCACACTTCCAATGTGGGGAATCGAAACAGGGCCTTCAGTGTGACGACTGACTGAGTTTGGTTTTACGCCGCTTTTAGCAATATTCCAGCAACATCACGGCGGGGGACACCAGAAATGGGCTTCACACATTGTACACGTGGGGATTCGAACCCAGGTCTTCGGCATGACGAGCCAACGCTTTAACCACTAATCTACCCCACCGCCCCGTTTTGATAGTGAACCACAAACAACTGGTCATGTTAAAGCAATTGTATGATGGACTCTTCTTTCTTCAGAGATTTAACAGTACTATAGAATGGAATTTCTATTATTATGTGTCAGATATACCTGCAACCTACTGTTTTTTTAAGTTTTCATTACACTTTTTACAACCCAAAACCCAACCGCTTATTAAGTGCCTTGTGTTCTGTATGATGCAGCAATTAAAATTGTTGCTGAAGAGGTTGTATAATGAGTGTCGCCCTTGAGGCAGGATAGGCTGACATGTTTGTGACGTTTTCGTGAGTACATACAATCATAAACACAAACAATTTGAAATCAATTCCAAATAAACAGTAACAAACAGTCTCTGACAAAATACAACAAAACAATTCATTCATTGTGCTTGTAAAGTTCATTGTCAAAATGGACATGGCATGTAAATTACAACAAGATGTAAATAGGAATAGAACACTACTGTGTCCAACAATCAATAAATAACAGATCTACCAACATATTGCACAAGAAACCACGTTATCTGATCAGACTCACAAAACAACCAGCCAGAGAAGAAGCTGACAGAGAGACTTCAAGCACATGGCAATCAGCTAATACACCTACTGCAGCGTGGATTTAAATGTTATTGTTAAATTGATACCTATGAATGTTGGCAGAACCCAAAGCTTGATTTCAGTGCTTGACTTAAAGGTATCAAATCAATGCTTATCTGCCTGGGACTTCCAATCATTTGATACTTCAGAATGTTAGAAGAAACCACTACCTGATCTTAATGCTTGACTTAAAAGTATCAAATCAACGCTTAACAGCATGGTATGTCCAGTCATTTGATACCTCTGAATGTTAGGAGAAACCAAAGCCAGATTTCAAAGCTGGACTTACTGGTATCAAATGAATGCCTATCACTTTAGTATCAGCCTAAGACTTCCAATCACAACAGGTTGATCTTCCGTTTGTCAGTGTCCTCCCAAATCTCAATGACAGTTCTGACATCTGTACAGTCATAACTTGACATCACATGTAGCAGAGTCACAGATTTGATTGTACATGTAAAGACACAGTCATGTTGTATCATCCTGGTTGCATATAGATACAACCACCATAACATGGCACCAGATTGTGGTAAATGGAATGTAGAAAGAGTGGGACATGGTGCATTTACTACTGTAAAGATAATATAACACAACATAATGTAATATGACATTTGTTCATGTAACCAAAGATGAAATTTGAGACGCAACCAGAGATGGCAATTGATTATGTAACCAAATATGATGTTTGATCATGAAACCAAAATGACATTTGATCATGAAACCAAATATGACATTTAATCATGAAACCAACTATGACATTTGATCATGAAACCAACTATGACATTTGATCATGAAACCAAATATGATCATGATACCAAAGATGACATTTTATCTTGTAACCAGCTGAGATGATGTTTGATCATGTAAACAGAGATTTGATCATGAAGACATAGATGATATTTGATTATGCAACTGAAGATGACATTTGGTAAAGAAACCAAAGATGATGATTATGTAACCAAAATTACATTTGATCATGAAAACAGATGACATTTGGTCATGGAACCAAAGATGATACTTAACCATGTAATCAATGATGACAGTTAATCATGAAGCCAAGGACTCCCAGGGCATCTTTGGTGCATCTGGGACACCTGGCATCAATTCCGTTCCCTGGATGAAACACTGTGGGCACCAGGCACTGTGGTTGTTGGGATCCACATCATGAGGGCTGTCTGGGAACAGCTGCGATCCACGTCGTGACATTTTTGAATGACTAGATGGGATGTAAATCTTCAATTCTGTGAATGACTAGGAGGGATTTTTATCCTGAGTTCAAAACAAAACAAATGGGACATCAGGCAAAAACATTATGGGTTCCATGGAGGACAAGCTGGAACCCACTACAAGAGTTGTGTGGAGACCAGCTGGAACCCACTTCAAGAGTTGTGTGGAGGACAAGCTGGAACCCACTTCAAGAGTTGTGTGGAGGACCAGCTGGAACCCACTTCAAGAGTTGTGTGGAGGACAAGCTGGAACCCACTTCAAGAGTGTGGAGGACAAGCTGGAACCCACTTCAAGAGTTGTGTGGAGGACAAGCTGGAACCCACTTCAAGAGTTGTATGGAGGACAAGCACTTCAAGAGTTGTGTGGAGGACTAGCTGGAACCCACTTCAAGAGTTGTGTGCAGACCAGCTGGAACCCACTTCAAGAGTTGTGTGGAGGACAAGCTGGAACCCACTTCAAGAGTTGTATGGAGGACAAGCTGGAACCCACTTCAAGAGTTGTGTGGAGGAGAACCCACTTCAAGAGTGTAGGACCAGCTGGAACCCACTTCAAGAGTTGTGTGGAGGACAAGCTGGAACCCACTTCAAGAGTTGTGTGGAGGACAAGCTGGAACCCACTTCAAGAGTTGTGTGGAGACCAGCTGGAACCCACTTCAAGAGTTGTGTGGAGGACCAGCTGGAACCCACTTCAAGAGTTGTGTGGAGGACCAGCTGGAACCCACTTCAAGAGTTGTGTGGAGACCAGCTGGAACCCACTTCAAGTGGGAGCATCATTGGTACTTTGTAACAGTAAAAACCACTGAAGTTAACAAACAAGGCAAAAGAGAATTGAAAATTAATGTTGGCGATAGTATGACAAGAAAGTGGGGTGCCACAATACGCTTACTGCAGGTAAAGTGAGGTGAGTAGTGATGGTGTGAGGTGAAAAGGATTCTCTATATTACATAAAATGTAAATACAGGTTGTTGCAGTAAATTTGTAAATGCATTAAAGGTTAAATAAGGTGGGTTTTTTTAGCAGTGTCTTCATGTTTTTCCCAGGGTATGGTAACACAGGCCCCAAACAGGTTACAGGCAGAGTTACACCAAAACATACTTAAGGTTACTTTTTCCTAACGGATTTAAAAAATAAATTGAAAAATGGAAGTCATATATATAGAATCTTTTGGTCTAAACTCACAATGAACTGCAGCCACAGTGAACTGTGAAAAATGTACAAGAGTGAGTAAGTGAGTTTTAGTTTTAGGCTGCTTTTTAGCAATATTACAGCAATATGGGGACACCAGAAAAGGGCTTCACACACTGCACCCATGTGGGGAATCGAACCTTGGTCTTCAACATGATAGATGAACGCTTTAACCACTAGGCTATCCCACTGACCCTAAATCTGCAAGAAATGGTGGGAGAGAATAGCCCCCATCTTGTGAGAGTAACGAGCCATTTGCTGTGAAGATGTAAATGAAGTCTGGTCCTGTAGACAGAGGGGTCGAGTCTCAGCCTTCTCTCTCCTCAAACACCAGTGCAAATGGCTGCGGCCGGATGAGGAAGTCGTACTCTCCTTCCAGGCAGAAATTCTTGGAGACTGGCTTGACGGTCACTTGATGCATGATGGTAGAGAAGAACAAGAACAGCATGATCTCGGCCAGACTTTCTCCAGGACAGCGCCGTGTTCCAGCACCATATGGCAGGAAGTGGTCAGGAATCTCCAGAGAGTTTTCCTCTGTTAGGAATCTGCATCAAAACATTTATCAATCAATAGAATATCATACCAACTCATCTCCAGCGTGAGTCTCTCACCTTACCTAAAGTTACATGTGATTTATTAAGTCTGGACCTGGTTCAGATCAGGTAGTGAAAAAGAACAATCGATCAAGCTGATTTTGTTGGAAAGTAAGACAGAATCACCTTCCAAATATTCCCAAATTATGTTTTTAGTGAGTGAGTGGGTGGTGGGTATTGGTCTACGCCGCTTTTAGCAATATTCCAGCAATATCACGGCGGGGGACACCAGAAATAGGCTTCACACATGGTACCCATGTGGGGAATCGAACCCAAGTCTTTGGCGTGGTGAGCGAACACTTTAACCACTGGGCTACCCCACAGCCCCTATGTTTTTAACATGTAACAACTTCTCTTATGTATCTGGAACAACAAATGAAGAGAAGTAACATTTGAAGTCCCAGTTCGAGACAAATATGTAAAACGTAATATAATAGAGAGGCCTTAGTATATCAGTAAACTAAGTCGTGAAAAACATTGCAGAATCAAAATATCTCCAAAGTAAAGAAAAAGGCCCCACTGCCCTACATATGCAGCCTATCACAAAAAAGCTGCAATATTGCCGATGTGACTTGAATTCCTGCTTGCGCACATATACAAAGTAATCACTGTGTATGCACCTTCTGGGGTTGAACTTCATCGGGTGCTTCCAGTATCGGCTGTCATGGTGGATGCTCCACACGTTCAGCAGCAAGATGGTGCCCTCCGCTATGTCGAAGCCTGGCCAATAATAACATTCAGTATCAATACTTGAACAAGGATAGGATGGTGCCTCTGCTATGTCGAAGCCTGGATAATATTCAATGGAAAAACTGCATTTTAACCATGGTAACTGAGAAAATTTAACAAAAGCTAACCTTGTAACTGGCAGTTGCTCCTGGCGACATGTGGCTGAAGGAAAGGGTAAACTGATGCCAGTCTCTCTGCTTCAAAGATAACAGCACTTGTATAAGGGAGATACGGCTGATCTTGTAGCGACGGAAGTCGGTCATTACCCACAACACCATCCAGTTCCTGTTGAACCTTGACCTGGATGTCTGGGTTCATGGCCATGTAGCCCAGAAGCCATGTCAGTACGACAGCTGTGGTCTCGTAGCCGGCATTGGCAAAGTCCATCATGAGGAAGTCGATGTCCTCCTTCTCCATCAACCCATGGTCCTCCCCGGTCTCGAGATACAGAAGCAGATGATCCATCATATCACGGATACTCCCGGGATCATAGCTGTCCTTGTGCACGTTCATAATCTTCCTCTGATACAGAATCTGTTGCAGGGTCTTTTCTTGAACAAACTCCAAATCTTCTCTCGGAGAGAAAGCTTTCAGGAATGGCACATAGTCAACAGCGTTGAAACACTTGGCGAAATTCCGGGCATGGAACGTTGATAGGATTTCTTGCATGACTCGACCTGCTGGGTCAAACCTCTGTCCATACGCTAGCCTCGTCATGATGTTCAGACACGCAGATTCAAAGGTATAGAAAGGATCCAGAGGTTTCTCAGTCTCAACAAATTTATTGACAACTTCCAAGATGTCTGCCGCCACTATGTCCTCGATGTTGTCGGAGCTGGAGCAGTAAACGTCAAGGCTGAAGTCCAGGAAGTTCCTCTTCATCGCAGTCTTCTCATCATAATCAGCTGTGCTGATGCCTGAAACGGAACATTTTGAAAGGTTTCTAAAACACAGCTATTACAGTGTTATTATAATGACCTCAATATGAGTTTGTGGGCTTTGAACAGTATTTCAGTTCCATTTTCAGTGCTAGTTACCTGCCTCAACTTCCGACACAGGACAAGGATTTTACAGTCAGCCAAACTTCTTAAAGGACACGGTATCTCCATTTCACAGGATTTCACTGAAAAAGTACGGTCTACCAGGCAAAAACTCAAAGGATTCATGACCGAGGCCAGGAACGAAGGTAAATTCTCTACTCTTAAAGGTGATAAAATCCAAATTGAAAACAAACTTTATCGACTGAACGACACTGAAGATGAATTAGTTCTGTTAAAAACATTCCCTCTTCGATCTCCTAATACTGACTCTAACAAATAGGGGCGTGGTCAAGGCCCACGTGCAGTAACTAAGTCCTGGACTGCTGTTCTGTGGAATGTAGAAGGTCTAAAGAAGAAAATTTGCCGGGAACATATCATCAACTTTCTGAAAAAATTCACCTTTATATCTCTCGTGGAGACGTGGTCAGATGAAAGTGAGGAGTTATTGTTTCAAGGATATACAGTGTTTGGGAAGTGTAGACAAAAACATGCCAGCGCCATTAGAAATTCGGGTGGAATAACTGTATTAATCGCCGACACTGTCTCAGAATTTGTGTCATTAATCTCGACGGAAAGTAACAACATTCTATGGTTACGTGTGCATGTACCAGTTTATCATTTTTCCATATTTATGGGTGTTGTTTACTATTCTCCTGCAAGGTCCAGTGCACATGCTGATGAAGCTATTTTACTCTTTTGGAAGATGATGTAAACAAATTCAGATCAAATGAACCTGATTGTAGAATTATAATTCAAGGTGATTTGAATGCACGCACTGGGAATGGATGTTACAAAGATTATATTGTTAATGATGACCCGAGGTATCTCCCGATTGATGATGACATAGATTATATAACCGACGACGCCATCGAACCACGTGCATCACATGACACTGTGATCAACAAACGTGGCTATGCCCTATTGAACTTCTGCAAAACATTGGACCTGAGAATATGTAACGGCCGTCTATTTCATGATAAAGGTAAAGGTAACATAACATGTTTTGCCAATAATGGACAAAGTGTTGTTGACTATGTGCTTTGTTCGACAATGTTTTTGAACTTTTGATGATTTTAAAGTGTCCGATGAAGTTGAGTCGACTCATCTGCCAATAACATTTTCGTTTTCATTGACACTGAATAATAATGAACGTTTCCACAATCTTTCATTTAAAACTAGATATCGATGGAACAATAACTGTTTACTAGAATACCTGCACAACTGGGATGTATTACCACCCGATGTTATAAACCAGTTTCATTCCTTTATTGATAACGGTGATGTTCAAGAGGCCTCGTTACTTTTTTAATACGGTTATGCAATCATGTGCCAGTTTCTGTAAATCTCGTGTATTGTCGACAAATAATGTTCCAAAGGGAGACAGCTGGTATGACGGTGAATGCAAGAGTGCACGTGATACCGCTCGGCGCCTTCTGCGTGCATTTCAAGCAAGTAACTGTAAATCTGATAGACAACGTTATGTTGAGTCTGTGTCACACTATAAACAGTTGTGTGCTGTGAAACTGTCTTCATCATTTTCAGATTACACACTCTACTAAAAACAGTAAATTATTCTGGAGAACTGTGAAATCGAAATCATCATTTGTAAACAATAATATTACACCATTTGACTGGATGAATCATTTCAAGAATGTTTTTCAGTCTTCCTATTGTTCAGCCGATGAAGAACACTTCTATATTTTTGTCAATCATTTTGTTGATTCAATCAGTGATAGACTTATTGATTCATCTGTGGACAATGACTATTTGGATAAAGAAATATCCTACCAAGAAATAATTAATGCTATTCATGAAATGCATAATGGAAAAGCACCAGGACTCAGTGGCATTCCAATTGAATTTTTTAAAAATGCACCTCATCATTGTATTGATTTATTGAAATCTCTTTTCAATAGCATTTTGTCTACAGGTATTTATCCATCTCAGTGGACGTATGGAGTTATAATTCCTTTGTATAAGAAAGGTAAAACTGATTGCCCTGGGAATTATAGACCTATTACACTGCTTGAAGTAACTGGTAAAATATTTTGTAAAATTATCAACAACAGGTTAAACTCTTGGGCTGAAAGGGAAGAATTCTTCGTTGACGAACAAGCTGGGTTCAGGTATGGTTTCCAAACACATGATAATATATTTATTCTTAATGCTATAATTGATAAATATCTTTCACTTTACAAAGGTCGCCTCTATTGTGCATTTATTGACTTGAAGGCCGCTTTTGACTCAGTCGATAGGTGTGGTCTCCTTTACAAACTGTGGCTTGGCAACGTGAAAGGTAATACCTACAGGCTATTGAAAAATATGTACCAAAATGTTAAAGCTTGTGTGTCGATGAGAGGTGGTTACACACCGTTTTTTGATTGTTTATCAGGAGTTCGTCAGGGATGCCAGTTATCTCCCTTTCTCTTTTCCTTCTTTGTCAACGATATTGTTGATTGTCTATCTGTTGATGGTCAGAGGGGTATCAATCTAGACTTAGTTGAGCTGTTCATCCTATTGTTTGCTGATGATATTGCGCTTTTTGACTTTACAGTTATAGGTCTGCAAAAGAGGCTAGACAAGCTAGTTTCGTATTGCAACAAGTGGAAATTGAAAATAAATCTTGATAAAAGTAAAGTTATTGTATTCAGGAAGGCTGGTCGACTAAGACATTATGAAAAGTTCCATTTGAATGGACAGTTGCTTGAAATTGTCGCATCATATAAATACTTGGGTGTTCACTTCTCTTCCTCTGGATCATGGTATATTACACAGAAAACTTTGGCTGACCAAGCATGGAAGGTGTTGAATATTTTCAAATCATCGGTTAAGAATTTTTATAATCTACCAATTAATGTTTTGCTCCACATATTTGATGTCAAGGTTCTGCCATTGTTACTATAATGGAAGTGAAGTCTGGGGTTTCCACCCGTCGCCATCTGTATTGAATGTACACGATAGGTTCTGTAAACAGGTTTTGGGTCTCTCAAGATACACGCCAAATATTGCAGCTCGTGCTGAGATTGGTCGTCATTCATTAAAGGTAAATCAGTACATTAAGATTGTTAAATATTGGGTTCGCCTCCTGTCTCAAGTTGAGAATGTAATCTTAAATAAGGTATATGAGTATCAGTATTGTCTTGCTGAAAAAGGTATAGATTGTTGGGCTTTTAAGGTGAAATCTCTTTGTACAGTTATGGTTTTGGCAATGTGTGGGCCAGTCAAAGTGTTGGAAATATCTCTACCTTCATATCATTATTTAAGCAAAGATGTATTGATATAGATAACCAGTTGTGGTCATCTCATTATATACTTGTTTCGAAATTGGATTTTTATCGCAGGCTCAAAGAAGGTATAGCTTTCGAGTTCTATATCGATAGTGTTAGTGTAAAACAGTTTCGAATCTTCTTAAGTAGATTTCGTTGCTCAAACCACAATTTGATGATAGAGTACGGTAGACATTTAGGTCTTAAAGGGAGGATCCTGTGCCCGCTTTGTATCATACCTAACATAGAAAATGAATATCACTTTTGCCTGGAATGCCCTTTTTATGGGAAATTAAGAAATGATATCCTCCCTAAATATTATCACATATATCCATCTGAAGTGAAATTAGCCCAGTTGTTTACATCAAAGAATACTTATACTATAAATTGTCTTGCAAAATATCTATTCTTTGCCATGAAAAAACGAAATAAATTTCTTTCAGCCTTCGTACCCACAAATGTATAATTGTGCAGCTCTCATGATGTTGTACGGTGCTCCAATAATTGTATATTCTGTACACCTGATGTATAATGGGCCTGTGGCCCCTTTACTGAATAAAACTCTCTCTCTGGCTAGTATTTCAGTTCCATGATGACATGTCAGTTTGACATGAGAAGAAAGCCTGAAGCAGGTGATTCAGATACATGGTCCCCACCAACAAATCTCATTTCATGACCACCATGCATATTATCACAATAAATGACCAAGGCCAAGGACAGCATTGTCTGACATCTGTATTGCACAATCCTCTCAAACAATGATGACATGAATAAAATAAGGACAACTAATTTTCACCTCCTAAAGTCCAAGAATGCATTTAAAAGATGCAGATGCTTGGGTCATGGTGGAATCTGAGAATACACAGCATTGGGAGGCAAGACTTCATCTTGGAGAAGAATGTGGTTGACCGAATCAATCAGTAAGATGTTCAGGACTGTAAATGTTTGAATGACTCTTCATGGCTACCAGTTATCAAAGTTTATGGTTCAGCCTGATAAAACAATCTCAATATTTTCAGTATCATTTTTCTGTAAGCCTAAATCAATGTGGTTCCTTAAATTACCAAGAGGTTCCTAAACTTGACGAACATACATTGCTAGGAGCCATGTAGAAACCAAAATATGTAATCATCTGAGGTTGCCGCATTGTCAGATCCGGTGAAATTTAATGTTACATGCTCATGAACTCATAATTACTTTTGTCATGTTCTCACCTTGATGTCTGTTTCCATTATACAGGATGTGACACACCTCAAAGTCAGGTCGATCACTGAAATCTCCACCTTTATGTATCAGCCCTTCCAAAACGGCATCTAGCGAGCAAGCAACCACAAATTTATGGCTGCCCATTCGCAGACGGTAGATATCTCCATACTTCTCTTTGAGGTTGGACAGCTTGATATGGGGCTTGTTGCGGAAGTAGTTGATGTGGCCGATCAATGGCCAAGTCCAAGGGCCTGGAGGAAGACGTTTCTGTGTCTTTTTGAAGATGAAGAACAGACTAAGTGATGTTGCAGCAAGGATGAGTGTCCAGTGATGTGTGTGGAGACAGTCGGTCTGCAGGATGTCCAGTGGGAGGAGCAATCGTTTGATGAGACTTTCCTCATCATGGCTGTGGGTGGAGTCAGCTGCAGGTGGGGCGGAACCAGTCATACTGCCCCCTGCAAAACACAATTGGAAAATTGCAAGCAGAAGACATCAGTAGATATAACATAAACAACAATAAGAGTTAAATAATAATTTCACATGGCGATATACGGATGACATACAGTACGATATCATGTTGTAGATAGCGTTGTAACAGAACAACATCATGCAGTTTTATGACAATGCAGTAACAATTATAGTTACAGTACGATATCACAAAGTTGTGTAACAACATGGGTTAATGTATATGTAGCGATGAATAACATCATGTGATGGTGTGACTGTAAGAGTAACAGTATGACATCACAGTGATGCTTGATTGGCATTTTAGAAGATGCTATTTGATGGATTTTATCAAAGAATATAAGAATACAGAAGATGAAATCCAGAAAAAAAGTTATGTTCGACATCAGTGGTTTAACACTAACAATTTGATACCTATTACATATACAGGTGTAGTGAGTGAGTTTCGTTTTAAGTAAGAGTTCCTCCCGTTTCCCCATCCCAAATAATATTTATACATATACTAAATTATTAACAAAACTTAACACAACAATTACTAGAGAACTCACAAAATGACTAAAAGTCCAATATTTAAGTTAGGGTTAGGTTTAGGGTTAGGTTTAGTGTTAGGTTTTAGGGTTAGGTTTAGAGTTAGGTTTAGGGTTGGGGGAACGGAAGGAAGTCTTTCCTAGTTTTACGCCGCTTTTAACAATATTCTATCGATATCACGACGGGTGACACTAGAAATGGGCTTCACACACTGTACCCATGTGGGGAATCAAACCTGGGTCTTCGGTGTGACGAGCGAACACTTTAACCACTAGGCTACCCCACCGCCCCTACACAGCTAATCTGTGAATGTGAAAGAGCTTGTCCCAATACAACTGACTCCGTTAAAGAAAGCAATCGTGTGCGTGTACTTGTTTATAAAAGTGACGAACACAAGAGGCTGTACTTCACTTGTCTTCTATCAAATACCAAACCCTTCCACTGCAAATGAAGTGATCTGACGTAGGCTATTGATTGATCGAGCTATTCATTGTATTTCTGGACACAGAATCCCCTAAATATTTCATTTCTAACTGAATTTTGTTACAACATTTTGTAAAACTATGCACGGTAGGTGAAGAAAATCCAACGACAGTGAAGTAATCAACCTACAGGATTTGATAATTAGCAACTAGCCAGGTGATAAAAACTATGCATTCCCTACTAGTGATGTTTAGAGATTTGTTTCTTTTCCGTGTCGCCGTATACAATTGCTACTTCCGACTTCTCGCTGTGTCGTCCATTTGTAAACAAAGCCCCCAGTGACCTCGCACCTGAGCTAAAATATCCCGGATTGAATTTAACCGTAAAAATAATCAATAAATAAATGTTGTTAGTAAGAGTACCAGTGTTATGTCATCTTGGGAATATCCTGAATGATATCAGCTTGTATTCCTAGCCTTTAGATCTGTTTGTGTATACGATACGTTCACTGTTTTGTGGTAGAGGGACCGAAATGTATTTCTGGTGGTCTATATGTTTTCCGGATTTTAGGAGCAGGAACTCAGTCTTTTGACCAATGAAATAAATGCCACAGATTCAGTGCGCGTTAGAAGCAACATGGACGACCAAGGAAGACAGAATTTACCAAATTTGAAAATATGTGTAGATAATACCGAAGAAGGTGAAATATCCGACAGCGATAGCTCGTTAGAGTCCGAAGTAGCAATAGAGGTTGACGAAGTCGTGAAGACCGATCAGACTGGGAATGATGGAGAGGTTGAATTTAATGTGAGAATATCGGATGTTGGAACCGAAAACAAAACAAAACCGAAGACAGAGGTGTGTGCATGTATAATCTGTCAATCATCTGAGAGCTCTCACCACACACACACCCATATGGTCTTGTTTTTTCTATCTCTTAGTTTGTAAATGAATGTTAATTATCACGCTCGAAAGCGATTCTCCATTGATATGAGCAACAAGAAAGTCAATGCGATCGAAAACATATTGTTGACTAATCATGGCAATGTTTTTGTTACAGCCCCTCAAATAAGTAACTAGGAAAAATCGAACTCGTTTTGCCAGCTTGAAGCAAAGCTGGGCTAATGACTTAATCTAATTAGCTAACACCACGATCATGATAACTGAGGTGTTGCTACTAAAACTCAATCTGTTTTGATACATACATATTAGACATGTTATCACTGATGCCTAACATGGCTGACATACAATGCCGTCCGGTAATTCCGCGCACCTAAGCACATTGATCACAACACAGCAACTAACGTCTCTTATTTTTTGTGTTTACGTGACTAAACATGCATCATATTTACCTAGAAATATAAGTTTTATTGACGACTATAAGATTCTAACGTTGCATTATGCCATACGGTTGACCTTACCAGCGTTCTGACGACATCGCTTGCTGTCCGGTAAATCTGTGCAGCAACTGATGCGCATAATATCCAGCTGGAGATCCGAAGTATGGAAGCGTATTAGGGCCAGATTATTTTCAAAAATCACTTCATCAATGTAAGGAAGAGTGTTTCATATTAAATCCAATTATGAATAACGAAGGAAAAGGTTTATAAGTCCGAAGAAAACGAATTTTCATAAAACTGTCAATGTATCTGTCAATTACTGTTATTTACTTACCTTTAGTGATTAAAAGCCAGTCCCTTGTAGAAATGTCCCGATTTCAAGTGTAAATGTGGTAGCAGACGATGTTTACCTTCGATACAGAAGGTAAACGATTGCAGCTGTGCAGAATTACCGGAGGCGCGGAATTACCAGACCCGATTGTACTTCAGTGTTACTGGAAGGTACTCATTACATTGTTTCTTGTTGAGATGATGATATATATGTCATGCATACAAATTACATGAGTTAGTGTTTTATACAGGTTAAATGGGACAGACTGTGAGGTATATTCTGATTTTGATTGAGCATTTGGTACTTGTTATGATATATACTTTATCTGATATATGTCTTATGTTTCATTTCCAACAGGTTTATACAAAGAAATATGAAAATAGAGATGGAGATTTTGTCACTGGAATTGATCTTACATCAAAGGTGTGTGGATTTACTTAATTTAGTGTAACTGAACAGCTATCAAGTACCATCTGTACCTAATTATCAATGATACTGTAAGTAAAGTATGGGTGTCTTAATTGTTTCAGTTTATTGAAAAACTCAAAACAAATGGCCCCAAAAGGTTTCTGTATAAAACTTCATCAGCATGTACATGATGTAAGACGACAGCAGTAATCAGGTTGGTCTTCTTTTGCTATGTTAGGAAGCTTTGGAGAAGAAAGAAGAGCGTGCTCGAAGGTTTGGCATTGAGGTGTCACAAAACCAGGGTGTGGATGCAGACATCAAGGCTCTCTACCAAAGGTAAACTCTAAAATAGCATAAAAGTTGGAGGGTTTAGCATCCCTGACCCATGAATACATGTATTCATACCACTGTCCATCTTTAGACATCGTCGATAATAGAAATTCATTCAACCCCCTGAGTTTAATAATTAACCATGGGTGCTAAAGAAATAAACTGATGTGTTTAGTATAGTTGTACTGTAACGTAAAGACATTGGTAATCTGAGGTGCATTCACTGTACACATGGTGCCAAGTTGTGTCCACCACTAACGTCATATCTTCAACTGTGGGCTCGGATGTCAGTCACCCTGATCATGTTTTAAAGTTCGTCAGCACAATGGAGTCACCAAAGTGGTAAACATCTGTGACTAGGATATCATTCCCTATTAAGCTAATACTATGATATATCTTGAACAGTGTCAAGACGTTCAAAGTGAGTTTAACCGAATCTCTATAACTGGGTTTAACTTGCTTTGAAACTGAATGATATTCGGTATATTCCAACATGAACTAGTTTGTTGTTTACTTCCAGTCTGGGCCTAAGGGATGCAGACTTCAGCCATGACGAGCGAGGAGTCAGACCAGAAGCTATCCACGTCCGTGGAACTGAAGAGATGAGCACTAAGGACATATTCCGTTACTTCCAGGAGTTCGCACCAGGGGGCGTGGAGTGGATCGATGATTCCTCATGTATGTAACCAATATTCTCGTATGATGTCTTGACTCCATAGGGGAGAGGTTGGATAGCATAGTGGTTAAACTTGAAGCATTCGCTCTTCAATCTGAAGACTCTGCTACCCATCCTTATCGTGAGACGGCAACTAAATTGGATCAGGTGGTCAAGCTTGATGGCTTGGCTGACACTTGTTATCGTATCCCAGTTGGGTAGATAGATGCTCATACTGTTGACCACTGGTATGTCTGGTCCAGACTCGATTATTTACAGGCCGCCGCCGCCGTATAGCTGGACTGTAACTGAGTGCAACATAAACAACAAACAAATCATTCTACCATTTGAGAGATGTTTGGTCTGAAATAAACATGAGTCTTAGTGTAATTAGCCAGATAGTGCCAAGACCACTTGCTCTATCTAACATGACTTTCATCAGAATGTCCTCATTGTTTCTGGTACCAAAAGATGAGTTAACTAAACTTAGCTGAATATTTGGGTTGATGACTGGTGGCTTAAGTTGCTGACAGATGAACATGTGACATATTTTGGTTCCCGGTGTGTAGGTAACGTGGTCTGGGCCGACCCCACAACAGCAGCAAGGGCCTTGCTCAAACTGAGTCGAGGTCAAGAGCCCGCTTCGGCAGCGACAAGAGATGGAAAATCAAAGAGACAGAAAGAAGGTAAAAAATGGCATTTGTCATAAATCAAAATAGAATTCTGGCCATCATGCAAACAGTCTAAGTCATCGTTTGATCATTCCCGCTTTGTTTCTGCTTCTGAAGACCTAGTGGTGGTCCGATTAATTGAAATAATCGGTGATTGGTCGCAACACAAACAATTCTGGAACACTTGTTTGCATTAACAATATTTTTCACAAGGTTGGTTTTGTCTGTAACATTTCATAAGCACTGCAAGCTCGTTCCAAGTCATGACTTAATTTATCTTAAAGACTCCAGGAAATTTATGTTCCTAACATACTAGTCATCCTTTAAAGATGTGGAATTTGCAAATGCATTTTGTACAATTGGCACAAAAAAACCCCAAAGAACTACATGTTTTTTTATAGATTTTTTGTGCATTAACAAACAGTCAGGAAGATTTGATAAATAATGCTAACCAGTTATTTTCAATGTTGATCGGTTGTGATGAACCAATCATCAATTATGAGATTTAAACCAATTCCCAACATTATGAAGACCTCAATACACAGGTTGTTGATGTAAATATCTAAGAAAAAAGTACACATTTTTAATTTGTAGAAGCCACAGTCGCTGAGTGGGTTAGACGGCTGACTTTGTATGCTGGCAATTAAGTGCTTGACTCTGGGTGTGGGTTTGAATCTCGCATGGAACTTAACCTAACAAAAGTACAAGAATCTGTGCTTAATTGTAATCCCAAATATAACATATGTTACATTTGACACTTTATAAATGGCACTGTGAATTGATTATTCAATGAAGCCTGAATTCATGGCTGGATGCTGTGTAACTCACAAATCAGTATCAGTTGACACAGTCACGATGTAGTAGTTGGACTTTGAGACCACCGAACGTACTCAGTCTATAGCTGGCACAGCACTCAGTCTACTTGTCCTACCTCCTCTAGGGGAAGTAAAGACACCAGTGACAGACAAGGAGAAGGATGAAGGGAAGGAAGGAGAGGAGCAAGAGATGGAGGTAGACGATGAGCTGGATCTTCTCACAGACGGACAGGAAGAAACTGAAAAGAAAGAAATGAATAAAGATGTTGCAGAAAAGAAGACTTCAGGAGCTGATGATGCGAAAATAGACTCTGATGAAGATATCTCATCAAAGAGAAAGGTACAGATGTTCAGCAAGTTGTTTAAAGTGTTTGAAGAGCTTGTAACATATTTCTGGAGTGACCTGCTGTTATAGTGTAACATGTTTTGTTAAACATGACAAAACTGTTCTCACTGAAGTCACTTTTTTGTAACACCAATAGGAACTGATAGGTAAGTGCTATGATTAATAGATACTGAAGCTTTTATCTGGAAAGGTGTTCCCTGCTGTGATATTGCTTGTATCATAAAACTATATTCACACACGCCTGAGTGAGATATTGTGTTACATATGATACATAACATATGATACATAGCATATTTCATCTTAGAATGTTGTGATATCTGCTAACATTGCTCGGCTGCATTCACTGCAGAAAGACAGTTTTAAGGGAGGTTATATCACCTGACAGATGAACATGATGAATGTCAGTTTCTCATTATGAGAAAACCTTTCCATTCTGTACCCTGCTTAGATGTCAGGTACATTTGTTATGTTCCTAGTCCAAATGACGACCTCTTTGGCATTAGTCACAACATACCAAATGTAGCTGTGTACCTCAAATTGATGCTGTAAGATGCCCTTTTCTGGATAATTGACCATATTTTGTAATTGAAATAGACCAAGGGGGATAACTCTAAGTTGTGCCACTTGCTATTATGCTTTATTGCGGTATCTATACTGATTTGGACCAAAACATGCATGCTCAAGACATAGTTGTGTAGTAAGATAAATTCATTGTCCACCAGTTCCTCGGATGAGATGGGTTGATGTATACGCTGTGCTAGTTTGTTCCCTAGGACAAAGAGGGTACATTAACCAACGAGCCACTCTGCAACAATGGTCAACTTATAACGATGTTGGTTCAACTGCAGAAGCGGTCAACTTCTGCCAATATTGCCTCTGAGCTCAACATTTTGTTGAGGATATAGTGTTGCTACACTGAAATGCACACTTATCGTTCCACTCAGGAGAAAAAAATACTTTTTTTTCAGAACAAGAGGGCAGAGTCGACGGAGTCCTCAAAAGAGGAGGAGCAGGTTGACTACGACGAATGGGGAAGCATCAACACCAGGGACAGCAAACCCAAACCCAAGGAACAAGTGCCGTGGCCGCCTGGGAAATGGAGGCTTGGTCTTAATACACCTAAAGCTAAACACGTCTTCCTCCGCTTTGCCACGAAAGGTAATGGTTATCTTCAGTTATCATTGCATGTTTGTCCCCTACTTTTGTGAAATGGTTCGTCATAGGGGAATTAGTGTAGTGGCAGGAGAAGGAATAGGTCTGTAAATAGTTCTTGATTTACTCATCAGGGAAGAGCCTCTCTTCTCATTGCTTCAGGGAAATACTGTCTTGTCGCATTGCTTTAGGGAAGTATCTGCCCCCTTTCTCCTTATCAGGTAAATAGTCCTGACCCTTTCTCTTTGTTACAGGGGAATACTTGCCCCATTTTCATGCGTCAATAAAATCCTCTCTTTTCGCTCAAGAATAACTTTCCGCTTCTCTTTGCTTATGGTAAATACTGTCTTGTCTCTTGTTTCAGGGAAGTATCTGCACCTGTTTCTGTGTTTCAGGCATATTCTTCTCCATTTTTCTTTGTTTCAGGGAAAACATTACTCTTCTGATGCATTCTAAGGAATATCCCTTCTGATTTGTGAATATTGTTCTATTTCATGTGATTCTATCGTTGCAGCTGATAGGAAACTTCCTCGGGCAGAACGCAGAAGCAAGTACTACAGGAAATATGGGAATCCCAATTATGGAGGTTGGTGTTGTAATCACATTCCTAACAGTAACAGACTATCAGTGCCTCTGTTTCAGCTGGGAATGAGCTTAGTTTTTGGCCCTGTGATTAGCTGCCAGGTGATAGCTGATAGAAGCTGGACCACTCTCATCTGACATACTGCATGTAAACTGGTTAACAACTTTGATATCTTTTGCTATGACATTTGTGTGGAAGTGAAGATATGAACATACGATTTTTTGTGAAGGTGTATGTTGAACATTCCTTTAATTTGAAGGCTTACTTCTCTTTCTCCCTGTGGATCAAGGGCAGTGGTGGGTAGACCAAGGTGGTGCTTAGTGGACACAGGTGGTGGTGGGTGGACCAGGGTGGTGGTGGGTGGACACAGGTGGTGCCAGATGGTCACAGGTGGTGGTGGGTGGACAAGGATGGTGGGTGGACACAAGTGGTGGTGGGTGGACCAGGGTGGTGGTGGGTGGACAAGGGTGCTGGGTGGACACAGGTGGTGGTGGGTGGACCAGGGTGTTCTAAGTGGACACAGGTGGTGGGTGGACCAGGGTGGTGGTGGGTGGACCAGGGTGGTGGTGGGTGGACACAGGCGGTGGGTGGACCAGGGTGTGCTAGGTGGACACAGGCAGTGGGTGGACCAGGGTGGTGATGGGTGGACCAGGTTGGTGGTGGGTGGACACAGGCGGTGGGTGGACTAGGGTGGTGGTGGGTGGACACAGTTGGTGCTAGGTGGACAAGTGTGGTGGTGAGTGATCTCAGATGATAATGTTGGCTTGGTACACATGTTGGTTTGACAGGGATGATGGTACGTTTGTACGATGATGGGTGCTTGTTTTTGAGCTAGGGTGGTTGTTGGTCTGAAAAATGGTCGAGCCTGAACAAGAGGGGTAGGACTTGGGTTGTGGAGATGGACACAAGTGTTTTGTTGGTGTATGGTGGTGGTTGGATGCTGGTGGAAGGTTCACAAGGGTGATGATAATAGACATAGGTGGTGGACATTGGTGGTGGGGGAGGCAGGTGGTCCAGCTGCCTTAATACAATGTGATTTCACTGTGCAGGGGTGTCACATGTAGGCAGGCCAGAAACCTATGATATCGTGTTCGAATCCAGATTCACCATGAAAGTGTTCGCACGTCATGCCGAACACCCAGGTTCAATTCCCCACTTGGGTACAATGTATGTAGCCCATTTCAGATGTCCCCTGCCGTGATATTGCTGGAATATTGCTAAAAGCATTGTAAAATAAAACCCAGTCAGTCAGTCTTTCCACACGAAGCTGACACACGGTGATCTAACTGAAATACTTTTCAGATCGACGTTTAACCAAACTCCCTACCCATGGGGGTAAACACACATTGATGTTAAAAAATAGTTATTCAGTCACAGTGGCTTGTTTACTTCCAGGTATGAAGGGTCTCATCAGTAACTCAAGGTAAACATTTTATCATTTTATTCATTCTATAGATCATGTTTTCTTATGTAACTTATTAAGTTTAGTGAATTGTCCCTGAATTGTTCTTTCTTATAACTTCTTTCTTGAACCTAGGAATGATGGCTTATGCATCTAATTATCCATCCAGTGCCATAAAGATGAGATGTCTTAAGCTTATTCAATACCTTTCTGGAATGTGTATGTCTTCTTGTCTGTGATGTAGAAAACAGAGATTCCGTGCTAAGACATTTGAGGAGGAGTTAGAAGAAGCCAGGGATGCAATAGAAATTCAGCGAGAGGAGCGGGAGGCCAGAGAGAGGGGGATCTCAGATGTGGAAGAGGTGGAAGAGGAGATAGAGCTTCCCAGAGTGTCCCCCTCAAGAGGAAGCGAGCGAACTCTGGTGGTGCAAGTGGGAGTGAGGATGGGATGGATATGGAGGCAGAGCTGCAGCAGCTTCTTGGGCCACCCGCTCGGAAACAGCGGTCCATGAGGATGTACGCTGACGATGAGGAGGAGGGAGAGAAAAGCTAAGAGGTTTGTCACGAGAATGTTATGACCTGATTGTCAAACCTGGCAGAATGGCGATGTACATGATAGCAGACTTGACCAGCTTTTGGTGAATAACCAGCTCATGGTAATTTTTAACATACCACTTGATATTACTCAAAGGAGCACAGGTACAAGTGACATATTTTCAGTAATTCCCACTTGTTATAATTTTAGCTTCTTGGAGATCGTCTAGTTTGTTTTGATTACTCTTATTTGTATTGTTTGCAAAGAACCCCAAACATTTTTCTTGTGAAACATGGTTGTATTTTCTTATGATCAGTTATAGTCACAACTTCTATTTGTGCTGTTAGGTGAGATGACATTTCTTGGATGTTTAGAAATTGTCTTGAATACGGTCCGGGAAGTAATGGTTTGGGACTGGACATACCTGGTGGTATGTTATGGTTTTAAGGACTTCAAGCATGTTATGGATATGCTGGTGGAGAGGATGATTCTGTTTTTGCAGGTCCAGGTGTAGTTGCAAGCACCTCCAGTGTACTTTAGTTCCAACCCTGTGCACTCTGTTTGAGAGACACATTATTGTCTTTGTTTTCAGTCGACTTGGAAAGGGGAGTGGTGTCATGACAGTTGTTGCCGGTGCTCGTAGCAGACCTGTTGGCAAAGTGACAGATGCCCGAGAACTCATCAAACGTAGTGCACTCAGATCTCAGATGAAGATGGGCAAAGACAGGGATGATTCTCCAGAGTTATTGAAGCGACCTCGAGGTGGGGATCTCAGGTTGCGAGTAATGGCCAGTCCTCTGGTCAGTGACAGTGAGAGTGAGGAGGAACAAGATGGTTCAGAAGAGTCCGAGGATGGAGAAGAGACGCCAAGGTCAAATGTCATGTCCCGTTTGGGTCCGGCAGGGAAGGCTAGCGGTGACAGTGAGGGGGAGAGTGATGATAGTGATGGGGACTTGAGAGCAAGGCTCGGTGTTCACAGTTCCGTGGAACATGTGAGGAGTGACCTGCGGTCAAGATTAGGTGGTCGGAAAGGCCACAGTGACAACAGCAAATATCCTGCCATGAGGATTGAGGTGTTTGAATGATGCACAAGCATGTCAGGATTCTATGTGATCATTTGTCTCTGGGTAGAACCATCTTTAATGAACATCATCTTCTGGATTAAGTGATGGAATGTCCAGATGGATTATGACAGATAAGTCATATGAAGCTCAATGTGGGAAGTAACAAGCTATGAGCATCTTAAGTTTATTGTTTTGTCTATATGAGTGGGGATGCAAGTAGGTATTGAGGTCTGACATGGAACAAACAGACAATGACAGCAAGTAGTGAAGTTAACTGTAATGTGACAAATACAGAGATGCTGACCAATTCAATTATTACAGAATATTTTTTATTTTAATCCAATTTTTACAACCTGTCCTCTAAATTATCTTTTTCAAATTATTTTACACAAATTATTTAAGGTATAAAATAATATGGAGGGCAAATTTTTTATTTACTGGCACGATGAGGCTCTTCTTCAAAGAACCATGCTTTCAGTTCATAAAGTGTTAACAGATCCATTACTCAGTGATACAATAACAGTTTTGATGTGAAGTTAATGATCTTTGCTGATGTAGACAAAGAATTAATTGCATGTACACTGATAATACTTTGGAACTCGTCACATGTTCAATTTTATGGGTAGCCTAGTTGTGAAAGTGGCTCCTCATGCCGAATATGTGATACCCATTTCTGATGTCCCCGCCTTCATATTGTTGGAATATTGCTGGAATATTGCTAAAGGCGGCATAAAAACATGGTCACTCAATGTTATGATTGTGTGGAGCTCTGACCACATATTTCACTAATATCTAGATGTAGTGAAAATGTTTGAAGGAAGAACCTGCATTACCGTACTGTTAACATTACTCTTTTTCAAATATACTTTTTGATCCAAAATTTCAGTTGAGGTTGGCATCTCTGGAACTGTTACATGACATTGATCATAATGTAGGTTTGGTGCACCAGAAGGGTTTGGGGGCCAGACAAGGTAGTCACCGTTCTTATAGTGAGTTTTGACAGTCCAGGGAATGACCGCTTAGGAAAACCAGCTCTCATTGGTCACCTGGCAGAATCTCAGTCATGACTTCCAGTCAAGCTAATTCTGTTATTTAGATGTAATATTCTTGTGCATATTCTACTGTGGTCTGGATATGCAATTGCTGACTTCTTAACCATGGTATAGCAATCATATTGCTGACAACAGGTCGTTGGTTGTCATTATATAGCTACAGCCATGATAATGTTGCTGTTGCCATGGTACTCTGGTAACTGTAATATTGCTGACTACGGGGTACTGTTATTGCGATAATATTGCAGACTACATGTTACTGTGGTTTCGCTGTAATATTGCTGAAAGCAGGTCATGGAAGTATGGCTGCAATATTTCTGAAAACAGCTTATTACAATATGGCCGCAGTATTGCTGAAAACAGCTTATGGCAATATGGCTGAAAACAGCTTATTACAATATGGCCGCAGTATTGCTGAAAACAGCTTATGGCAATATGACTGCAATATTGCTGACAACAGCTTATGGCAATATGGCTGCAATATTGCTGAAGACAGCTTATGGCAATATGGTTGCAATATGGTTGAAAACAGCTTATGGCAATATGGTTGCAATATTGTTGAAAACAGCTTATTACAATATGGCTGCAATATTGCTGAAAACAGCTTATGGCAATATGGCTGCAATATTGCTGAAAACAGCTTATGGCAATATGGCTGCAATATTGCTGACAACAGCTTATGGCAATATGGCTGCAATATTGCTGAAAACAGCTTATGGTAATATGGTTGCAATATTGCTGAAAACAGCTTATGGCAATATGGCTGCAATATTGTTGAAAACAGCTTATGGCAATATGGCTGCAATATTGTTGAAAACAGCTTATGGCAATATGGCTGCAATATTGTTGAAACCAGCTTATGGCAATATGGCTGCAATATTGCTGAAAACAGCTTATGGCAATATGACTGCAATATTGCTGACAACAGCTGATGGCAATATGACTGCAATATTGCTGACAACAGCTTATGACAATATGGCTGCAATATTGCTGACAACAGCTTATGGCAATATGGCTGCAATATTGCTGACAACAGCTTATGGCAATATGGCTGCAATATTGCTGAAATCAGGTCATGGAAGAATGGCTGCAATATTGCTGAAAACAGCTTATTACAATATGGCTGCAATATTGCTGACAACAGCTTATGGCAATATGGCTGAAAACAGCTTATGACAATATGGCTGCAATATAGTTGAAAACAACTTATGGCAATTTGGCTGCAATATTGCTGAAAACAGCTTATGGCAATATGCTGAAAACAGCTTATGGCAATATTGCTGAAAACAGCTTATGGCAATATGGCTGCAATATTGCTGACAACAGCTTATGGCAATATGACTGCAATATTACTGACAACAGCTTATGGCAATATGGCTGCAATATTGCTGACAACAGCTTATGACAATATGGCTGCAATATTGCTGAAACCAGCTTATGGCAATATGGCTGCAATGTTGCTGAAAACTGCTTATGGCAATATGGCTGCAATATTGCTGACAACAGGTCAAGGAAATATGATATACGCTGACTGCAGGTCACCATAGTATGTATGGCCCTAGTATTATGTGTAGCTCATACACATTACACCACTCACGGTAGTGTAAAGCGCAGTTAATGCCGAGTGTCCACTGAGAGAGATTAATGTCACACGATCCCATGGTAACTATGCAGCATCTCATTTCATGATCCTAAGTCGTCTCCATCTCATCCATAGTGTGGAAGCGAAACTGTTGGCTTCATCTCCTTCGCCAATGAAAATTTTCACCATGACTTTATTTTGAATCTGCTCAATGCAGTGTGATGTGCAATGTTATAATGGCTGTGCAAGCACATAACACTGTGGTCTCACAATTGAGCAGCAGTGTCACCAGTGGTGAGTTTGTCATCTATCCTCGTAAACATGCAAGAGCTATGTTCCGAACAGGGCTGTGATTATCATAAGCCAAGTTTAGAGTATAGGAGTTATAGTGCTGAGAAAGCTTAGAGCAATGGGGCCCATGTTAGGTTCTACCCATGAAAACTGATGGGACCAAGACAGAGAGACAAATATAGAAGTATGCAAGCAAGAAACAAAAATAACGACACAAGTGTTTGTCTAATCTTAAGAACACAATTTTAAAACTGAATATTTTCCCCTTTGTATGCCAAAAGCAGTTACTTCAGAATCATTGGAAGTATGTGTTGAGGAGGAAACTATCTCCTGTTATATGTAAATGTGAAGCATTGAGTTTTACAATCTTTATGTTACCAGAACCTATGGTTTAGGAGATATATACATGTACCCTTGTACTGTGTAGATCTTCCTGTCATGGATATGGTAATTGCTTGTTGAAAGAGTAACGCGATGTCTCTATATTTGGAAAAAATGAGAAAGAACCTATGTTTCTAAAACATGAGGGTTAATAATGAAAAATCGCCTGTCCTGTGCTAGGTTGCCACTGCAAGATGTGTAGTGGTTATTTGGCTATTAGATTCTTCGTTGTTACGACATATTTTTCATTATTCTTTTTGCTTCATGACTACCTTTTTTGTCATGGTAATCATTTTATCGTTCAATGTTCATTTTATTTGTCATGTCTGGAAGACAGTTGTTCAAGTGTTGAGAGTAATGGGTACGAGAGCGGAGGTACATTAACAGGTGTTGTAATGAATGGCCAGGTACCTTTTCCCGTGCCACAGCTGATCAGATGTGCTTCACAATAGTTTTTGTTGAAGACAATTGTTCAGGTATGAAATACACAATGCCATTTAGAAAGTGGTCAAATGTAACATATGTTATATTTGGGATTCCACTTTCTTAGTAAAGTACAGATTCTAGTACTTTTGTTGGGTTGAGCCCCCTCCAGGATTCGAACCCACGGCACCACGAGTCAGGCACCTAATCACCAGCACACAAAGTCAGATGCCTAGACCGCTCAGCCACCGCTGAGTACTAGAATCTGTACTTTACTAAGAAAGTGGAATCCCAAATATAACATCTGTTACTTGTTGAGGTGTTGAGATAGTTGGTATAAGAGGTGAGGTACAAATACAGGTGTTGTAGAGTATGATCAGGTACCTCTTCCTGCCGAGACAGGTGATCAGATGAGCTTCACAACATACATCATCCCATGCCAGACTGGTCACAACTTTCAGCAGTGCCTAGATTTGTTCAGGTACTCCCTGATATGTGTCCAGGCTTGTCAACTGCTGACCATGCTCATGGGTTTGTCTATCACTTTTGGCTTTCCTTCTGTAGCAGGGCGAGATTTATAACATCCTTACCTTGTCAGCTTGCTATGATGACTAGTTCTGACGATGGACTGCAGTATGTTGAGGATTTCAAGTAGTGGATATTACACTTATCTATATGTTTGGGTTTTGTATACTACTTTCCTCCATCACCCATGCATACATACTGCAAGTAACCATTCAAGCCATGTCCATAAAACCATGAAGTGATCAGAACAATAGATGTTCCGATTCCTCTTTTATATCTCCATTGCTCATTGTGTCATACCTACTAACCCCAGGATCTATTGCAGTAGTTGTGGTGAGCTCAGATAACTCAACCTTGATGGCCATTAACAGTGACCAATCAAACATCGAGAGAGGATAAGGGAGGTAACGCGTTAGGACCTGTCAACATCGTCACCCCAACAGGAGGCTGGTTGTAACTGGCATTCCGATTTATACCTGAGACTTAGAGGCGGACCAGATGAAATGTACTCATGAAAGTAAAGGCAGAGTAATTTGAGATCGCGAGAAAAACGAAATGGGTATCCATGCAGGTGTTTGTATTGGTTAACCGAAATGCGAGGCCGGAGATGTAGGAGGTTGTTCCGATTATCATGGTGGCCATTCAACCATCCACCCACGTTGATTCGCACCTAGGCAAGAGTAGGGCTCGCACATGTACTGAAATGGGCCATCATCAATTCACAAGCTGGCTTAAAATCACCCTCTAGAGCTCCAGGACCAACTCAGGCTCGCTGACATGGTTGACACATGTCATCGGTTCCCAATTGCGCAGATCGATGCTCATGCTGTTGATCACTGGCTTGTCTGGTCCAGACTCGATTATTTACAGACCGCCGCCATATAGCTGGAATATTGCTGAGTGCGGCGTAAACCTAAACTCACTCACTCACTCCAACCAGCATGAAACCGTGACTCAGCCTTCGAACCTTTCTCATGGATCGTGGAACCTGAAGTTACCTGCCCTTGATTGGCAACTCTAATATTTCTAACGCACCAATCAGAATGCGTGTTACTAGCTTCAATTTGGTGTTGGTAATGTCAGAAGCATGGTGACCAGTCCCAATGGATATGATAAGTGAGGAATTCAGTATTGATAAAAGGGATACGCCAAATATGGACCTAAAACGTTTTTTTGATGGAAAAATGCAATGTCTTATAAAACTGGCGGTGGCTTTGGCTCCCATGCTCTATCCTTTAGACTTCAGTCGACGTTTCCTTGGTCGGTAAAATGGTATTGAAAATTATAGGTTTGTAGTTTGTGTTCGCAAGCACCACGGAGATGGATCCAGGGGTTAGTACAGGTTAAGGATCGTGGGGTAACCAAGTGGTTAAAGTGTTTGCCTGTCACTCTGGTGACCCGGGTTTGCTTCCCCATATGGGTGCAATGTGTGAAGCCCCTTTCTGGTGGCCCATGCCTTGATAATGCTGGAAGTTTGCTTAAACCGGCGTAAAATTAAAACCCACTCACTCACTAGTACAGGGTAACCGAAATACTTGCTCTGGAGATATATAGGATGATTAAAAGTAGACACATGTCGCGATTTCACGGGTCACTAAGAAACGTAGTGTGAACAAACCTGTTAAGTATGGTTGGACGGAATAAACTCCCAGTATCTGCCATCGGAAGACTGAGCAAGCATATGTCCACAAGTTGTGCGTTATAAATAGGAAGCTGTTGATCGGGTATTGGAACAGAAAATGACACGAGCATGCCAGGGCATCACCACAGGAGGCTCGACTTCGGTACTTGGTTGCCTTATTACGTGAACAATTGTTTGTTGATTTATTGATACTTTTTATACAGTACATTTTAAATTTGTACAGATGAGGTACATTTTCAACAGAAATATTTATGGAATAAACTGATCTATGCATTGACGTCCTTTTGTATATTTAATTGATAGAAATATTCGTCTATTAGACCAGTAAAACATCAGTTTTTAGGACTAAATTATTGCATCTGTGGTTTGGCACCTGCCCGGAGGTCTGGGTTCCATTTCCAGCTGCGCTATTCCAATTGACGTCACCTTGGTATTAGAATACAGTACCATGTACACCTCTTTAATCTGGAGTCTGTATGTTTTGACTGTGTGGGATATGTGTCGTGACATCTCATTTGACTAACAGCCAGGGGCGGTGGGGTAGCCTAGTGGTTAAAGCGCTGGGTCGTCACGCCGAAGACCCGAATTCGAATCCCCACATGGGTAAAATGTGTGAAGCCCATTTCTGGTGTTCCACGCCGTGATGTTGCTGGAATATTGCTAAAAGGGGCGTAAATCCAAACTCAGTCAGTCAGTCAATGACTAACAGCCCAAAACCGACGGTTGTCCGGACTAGCAAACCCGTGAAGTTCCGGGTTAGAATTGATCTTCAGTAACCCATGCTTGTCGTAAGAGGCGACAAACGGGATCAGGTGGTCAGGCTCGCTGACTTCATTGACACATGTCATCGTTTCCCAATTGCGTACATCGATGCTCATGCTGTTGATCACTGGATTGTTTGGTCCAGATTCCATTATTTACAGACCGCCGCCATATAGCTGGAATATTGCAGCGTTAAAGAACCAACCGGACAAGCACGAGCGACCACGGATCACTCATACTCGTCACTTGATCAGTGCAATAATGTTAAACGCAACGTCAAATCCCATGATTTTCACGTGTCTGGTCACCAGTTCAGTACCTTGTTGTTTCAACTGAACTGAACAGTTATAAATAAAGAGTTGCTAGTTAGTTGACGGTGATGACTCGTGGATCGAGTGTCTAATGGTTATTTGTTCAACAGAACACTGTGTATCTAAAAAGTTACGTATACATGAAGTGTTGTTAATTGGTCCAGCAGTGCTGATTGGATGATAGACTTTTGTATCAATACAGCGATGTGGATTGGTCAGTTGTGAAAGTGTTGCTGATTTGCCAGCACGACACCACGTTGCTGACTGGTTCATTGTGACATGAATTCTGATTGGGTCCATCGTTTCAGCACACCTTCAGATGCATTCGTAACTACTCGACTCGTACCTGTATAGTACGCCATTATTGCCAAGAATCGTGGCAAACAAATGAAATTGCGCAAGTAAAATGTGAAATGAGTCAAATAGTTTCTTTGCGATTATCGATTTCCATTGTTATTTCCGTGATTATAAAAATATTTTGTTACTAATATTTGTTAACGACATAAGAAACTTACTTGAAGTAACTTTCATTGTTGTATTATAGATTTGTAGGAGTAGCCATTTTGGAAATACAGAGTTATCTTTCCTTGGAAATAGTCCTAGACTTTTTTCATCTCCGTGCCCGTTTGCGCTTACACAAGGCACAGTCGTGAACATGGCCACGGGAGGGGTACGAGTCGCCATCCGGCTTGCCGGAATGACACGATAGGTTACGAATGCTTCCGATGCACAGACGAACCCTTAAACAGATTGCTGTTTCTCCAATCAGAGTATGAGACGATAAAAGGAACATGTCTATATGGTGAGCGATTAACTGAAATAGAAATTTCTTGTTGAGTGATGACCCACTGAGAGTTGCTATCGCCGACTGGTTGATCCAGATGCTGCAGAAGGAAGTAAAACAACATTCACTCCCTGACGTCTTACATGATCGTGTGCAGGTTCGTCTTCAGACAGGCCTTCGGAGTAGCCCGGTGGTTGAAGTGTCCGTTCGTTACGACGACTGCAAGGATTCGATTCCCCACATGTTCCTATATGTGAAGCCTAATTCTGGACAGGGCCCCCAACCTTCCCGTGATATTACTGCAATATTGCAAAGCGGCGGAGAACCATATTCATTTACTCTTCAGACAACGTAAATTCCTATTTGATTTTATTATGCAAATGCCCACAATATGATGTTCAACAGGAGACAATACAAAAGTAATTTTAGATGAAAAGGGTCTATATACATATTGCACATACTCGGAAAAACGGATGTAGATCATCAGTTGTGTTGGACATGATTAGACGTCCATATACTGAGTGTGTCGACAGTGTAGAAACTGCACCTGGGTATTACGACCATGGGGGACTCGTGAAGATCGATGCTCATGCTGTTGATCCCTGGATTGTCTGGTCCAGACTCGAATATTTACAGACCGTCATATGGATGGAATATTGCTGAGTGCGGCGTAAAACTAAACTCATCCACTCAATCACCACCATGGGCATCCTAAATTGCGATCGAACGTAACATTTACCGCTTTTTAAGTAGACATCATTAACGGAGACGCTTCGCCATAGTGACTTCCAGTTTTACAACCCACTGTGAGAAACTCCTGTACAAAGTGTTCCTTTCCGCAACTTCGTAATCAAGTGAAAAACGTCTACTACATCTAGGAAGTGAGGATATCATTTTATGTAGACAGGTTGGGCAGAGTTAGTGCATTTTAGGTAGAACCCGAGGCCCGATTCACGAAACATTCATAGCACTATAACATTCGTAAGCCTATGATAAAGTACGTTTAACTTTACGAAGGGTCGTAACGTTACGAACGCTTTGTGGATCGGGACCCAGGTTCCTACATTATGCAAAATTTGCATTTAACAGATGCCTACATAGTGTCGACATTGTTAATTTGATTAACCCATTGTCAATGTATCTGATGCCTACATTTAGCACAAGGACTGGTCGGCTCGGAGTCAGTATAAAGTGTCTGAGTGGGGTATTCATGCTTCACTGCGGCATGGTACCTCAGTGGGCTAGCACTATAAAACCAGCTTCAGTCTAGGCTAGTACAAACAGCCGCACATACACATACACACGCATGCACGTCGTCATATGAGCGAATATTCTCAAGTACGACGTTAAACCCAATGTCACCTCACCTACAGTTAGCTAAGTGGACCCAGCTGACGCTACACTTGGCAGTGTGGATGTATCGGTCCCAACATTTAGCACAGTGTGTTTATACTGTATTATCACAGTCGTGACATATCTGACGCCAACACTTCGCACTCGTGTACACCTCGCTAAGGTTACGTGTTTAACAGTTCGGAAGTAATCACGTCAATACCAGGGCTTTAAAGCGTACACGAAGGTCCAGGGTTTACACGGACAAGGTTGAAATCAGCCAGTTACTCTCTCTCTCTCTCTCTCCATTCTCCTCTTCTGTTACATCTGAAGTGATCTCCCTTTTATTCTATACCAGCCTATCGCCCTTCCGGTCATGCGTACATTGAGGCCACGAGAGACCAGGCCATGTGAGGTGAGAAACCATATTTCCATCAACCAAGCTTCAAGTGTTGAGGCCGAAGAAGGAGAACAAGGATCTGCTGCCTAGTTTTTCCCGCCTTCTGGGCTGGTTGGTGATGTATTTCAACCTGTCTGTCACAAAGCTTTTAGCTTCCTTATCCCACGAGCTCCTCTCCTCCAACACCTGCAACAAAAAAGTCACGTGACGGTCATTTAGGAAATTAAGTATACGGCCGTATCCCCCAGGTTTTTTAAATTACGTGTCAGAATATGCCAGGGCAAATGTTAATTATAACCTTGGGTAATAGAATGCTCGGGTAGCCCCGTAGTATAGATACGCCATTACGATTTGCCCATTCCCGACATGGGCAAATCGTATGAAGGTCGTGATATTGCCGGTTCATTGCTATTATATTCGACTAACGTTTAGTCTCTGAATATATATAATTTTGACAGAAATAGATTATTCCTTATAAATTGAAAAGGAGACCCAGCATGATGAGAAAATCAGAACCTAACCCTGAGGAAATCTAGACTTGTTTCATTTTCACACTTTAGCACCGCAAGAAGGGCTGGGCTGAATGAGAAATAATGCAGTACAGGGACTGTGAGACACGTGCTTTTGGTGACGTTTGTGACTATACCTGGAAAGGGCCATCCGTTCCTATTTGAGGTCGTTTCAGAGGCATCATGACAACGGGAGTAGTGTCAAGGTATTCCTCGCCCCTAATTGGCTGAAGCGCCGACATGTTTACAGCCACTTCGCCGGCGAAGTCGTCAGACACCATGTAATCGTGGTCGAGGACGGAGAAAAGGATGCACGCGCCATTCTCAGTCAGCAATTTAGAGGGAATACTCGGGCTGCCAAGAGAAGAGCATGATAAGTGTTTTAGGTTGGTAAGCTAAACGTCACTGAAATCATAAACCATATGATCAGTGTTAATACATCGTTTAAGGGAACTTTGTCTACGTTTTCAGAACGTGAGGAAATATACCAAAGGGCCATTACGTCCTTACAGGGGGCGCTTATGCCGTGTTATATAAGATTTCCATTCTCATATCCCAATTGCGTAGATCGATGCTCATGCTGTTGATCACTGGATTTTTTGGTTCAGACTCGATTATTTACTGCCGCCATACAGTTGGAATATTGTCGAGTGCGGCATTAAACAACAGCCCAACCAACCAAATCCTTCGTGGGTTCACACAGCGTTGACGACGGTGATCGAAGTAAACTTCCATGACAGGTATAAAGAAGATACTTACAAAAGAAAGGACTCGTTGAAGATGGGGTGGAGGGTCTTCTCCATCACTCTAGTTCGGGAAGACTTGACGTTGAGAAATAGGTTGGGCGGCTGGAGATTCACCACGACATACGGGTCACTCAGGCCACTGTTGTCCAATCCAGGCAGGTCACTCGCCCGCATCACTATGAATACAGAATTTATTGTTAGATTAGAAATAGCGAGTGAATATTGTTGAACGGCGTATCAGCTATTTTGCAGCTATTCGCGGCGAAGATTGGGAATGCAGTTGGTCAGTAAGCCCCAAAACAGAGAAAGGTGGTATAGCAGCGTTTAAACTTCCCGCCTGCCCGACCGTCCGGAACAGTCTATTTTCATCCCGGACGGTCAAATTTCAAAAGTAGCCTGTCCGGTGGTCTGGTAGGTATTTTTACCCCTAAGAGTAAATATTTCATAATATCAGACAGGTTCTCTTGTCGTCAGTTTGAGGTGTTTAAGGTATTATGATAATTATGTTAAACTACTTACGATTGGACAGTTCATGTTACGATAACCAATCACAATCATTCAGTTTACCTAAACTCGGTGCATTGCCTGTTAGTGCTATGTAGTTCATTGCGAAGCCTACAAACAGTGAATGGAGCTTGCGCAAGTTGGAAATGTTTTTTAATTATTGAAAACAGGCCAGGCAAGCTTGTATCCGGACTGGTAGTTTGTTAAAGTTACCAGTCCGGCTGTCTGGCTTGTAAATTTGGGAGTTTTAAACTCTGTCATAGAGTAGACTTACCTTTAACTGCAATTGTGACCATGCTCTTTGTCTCCTCCACGTAGGCGGCCTTGACCGCAAGGTGACCTAGGTATTCCGGAGGGGTGCTCTGAAACAGCATTGTCCTAAAGGTATCACGCAGTCTCTCACACTTTACAACGAGAATAGATACTGAAAATGAGTTACATCCCTTGATGTGACAGGAAACTATGACAACGGTGGGCGCCCTATATTTATTATTTTTCAAACGTATGTAAGAACATGATCAACCTATACCAGTATTACTGTATAGCCACACCTGGAACGCACCTAGCTGTCGACATGAGGTAGACAGAGAGATAGGTTTGTTTGCTTTATGAAAAACTGTATGACAGCAGCGGTCTGAATCAGATAGTCTAGTGACTGACGTCATGAGCATCGACCTACACAACTCTGATACAATGATGTGCATTAGCCAAGACAGCCAGACCGCCGGAGCCTGTTAGTGGGATCTTCTGACAAGCATGGGGTACTGGACATCCTATCCCGGCCTTCCTAGTAAAGACTCAATTTATGTCTTGATGATAGCACCAAGATTATGCACTTGCCATATTCAGCAGATCAAAGACATAAGCCTTACCATTCCATGAGCTAGACATTGGAAGTACTCCTGCATGAGAACCCCGGATTGCATGCAGTTAAGGTTGATGCGATCCCTGAGCTGAACTTCCGACGCACCCTGCGCTAATTTCTCCTCCAACCCGCAGCTGAGGAAGAACGACGTCAGGGCGCCCAGATGCTGAAACCAAACACGAAAATCAGTAGCCTGTATCCACAGCAAAGGTACACGGGCACTTAAAAACCTATCAGTCTAGGTAACTTATAGTCCTAGTAAGTTGGATTCATGTCGTTCAAAAACAAAGTTGTCTTTGACAGCACTTCAAGTTTTTTTTTCACTTAAAGTTTTCCTAATAAGACCTTTTTCATTTTATACAGACAAACCTTACGAATAAACAATTTCTACGCAGACGGGATAAAGTAACTTTGATCTCACAAGTATTACAACCAGTTAGGGTTGGTTGATGAGTTCATCGTACGCAGCGGGGATGCAGTGATCTTCTGATTTGCTTGCTTGAACACATTCCGAGGTAAAATACATCGTAATTTTGGGAAAAATGTAACTGTACGTGTGTCTCCATATATCATATCATATACTATGTCTCCACAGACAGATAATGATGCGTCTTACCCTTTTCATATGTCCGTAGTAGTCTGGTCTTTGCTGAAACAGAAGTGAGACAATATGACATTAATCCAACAGTGATTATTTGCGGTGAAATCCAGTTTCGCTTTTGCCGTTATGTTGAAGTTGACGGGTACAGTCGTATACATGTCCATGCGTGTCCATCTACATGGGGATTATTATGATTATTATCGTTATTTATGATTAATACCGTAGATCCAACAGTACCATAGCACAGACTGGTCAATCAACTTTCTACACACCGCATGAGTGAGAGGGAACGTCGAGAAGGACACTTACTGATCATGTGACAAAGGGCTCGCAATTCTTACAAAATGGCGTCCATTTTGTGGCACGCAGCTTTGCCTTAAAAATGGATTCAAACAATACTTATGCGGCATAAAAGTGCACGCGCTCCTTTGAAATGCCCTCTGTCAGTCGATCAACCAATGGAGTGCATAATTCATTATAAGGTTAAAGTTGGTTGTGAACTTACCCCGATTTGCATCTGTTCATAGAATATCTGAAGGACGATTTCCCACAGTTCCTCAATCATCTTCGGATAAATAGACGTCATTAGACGGTCGTCTAGAGTCTGCAAATTCGTAGACAGGTATCCGATGGTCTTGTCTACAGCCTGTTGAAGTCAAAGAAAGGGCATTACTTTAAACAGTATCATGAGAGTGTATACTTGTCAAACATATTACTTGTAGTTGGTTGGCAGCCTTGTTGCACAACCAACTTAGAAATCCAACCCGGAATAACCTTGTTGAAATGTGGCGTTCAGCCTGTCCGAACATACACATGTAACACATATCTGCAAGTAGATGGGCATATACGATTTAACGTTAAATATTTTATTGATAATGAACTTTTTTTACATTATTCAGACGAATATCATGTTTAGAGCCATAACTGAACTTTCAACGGCATATACGTGGGACTTCACCATGATGAACTGGGACGTCTGAGTGAACTTAAAAAGGCCTTCATGGAGACTGGCGACGCACATGCTGAGAAACATGTCACACACAAAAGGCTTTCACGGGAAACTTAACAATAATGACACCCATTACTGACCTCACAGAGACCTTCAAGGGAGACTGATCATGAGATCCATGGCTGAACTTACCGACGCTTTTGCGGGTGACTTGACAATGAATATTTCCATGAGCTTCTGAACGTTGGTCTTCATCTTGACGGCGATCTCCCTCAGCAGGAAGGAACTCTTCATCAGGATGTCCTGGTTGGCAGTGGCAGTCAGACGTCTGAGGGTCGTCAAGGACTGTTTGCCAATCTTGGCGTCCTCGTGGCGCGCTGACAGTGACTGTCCCACCTCCTCCCACTCCAACAGCTCGGGCAGCTGGTTCAGGTACTGGCGCACGTGCTCGATGTTGTTTAGTGTGATACACAACTGGACACAAAGCAACCATATCAAGAGAGATGTTTTCACACAGTTTATTGAGCATAGGATATCCTTCAATTCAAGTCCTGCCTTATTAGGACTAAAATGAATAATAAACACTGTCATTTGGAAAGTGTTGAAATGTAATCAGTTCTGTACTGAGAAAGTGTAATCCCAAATATAACAAATGTTACATATGTTTTATTTGGGATTACAAATTTCTCAGTAAAGTACAGATTCCAGTACTTTTGCTGGGTTGAGTTCCATAGGGATTCGAACCCCCAATCTCAGAGTCAGGCACCCAATCGCCAGCACACGAAGTCAGCAATCTAACCCACTTTGCCACTGGGCATAGAGTCTACGGGCCAAAATGTTGCATCGTACGAGGTAGCTACTCACTGCACTCAGTGAGGATGTTGTCAGATCGTATGCAGAGTATTGAATACAAGTAACATGCAAGTGAAAGGTCTGTTATATACCCTGTCATTGACATCAAACTTTTCTTCCTGTTGGTCGTAGTAGCAGTTCCGCTCAAGGATGGTGTGAATCTTGTCTGCATACAGACGGGCTCCGTCACAGATTAGCTGAAAAATGTAAGTGATATATCAACTGTAGAAAATCCAGTGATATATCGGCTGTAAAAACATAGCTATATGGCGGCGGCTTGTAAATAATCGAGTCTGGACCAGACCATCCAGTGATCAACAGCATCACAAGTCACTTTCATGCACAACTAGCAATACTTACGTCAGTGATCTTGGTGACACCCATGACGACGGAATCTGGATCCTTGAAGTCAATCTCCCTCCACTCCTCCGTAATCTGATAGGAAAATATACAGTTACCAGTAAAGACTTGATTACAATATGGGGAAAATATACAGATATCAGTAAAGACTTAATTACAATATGGGGAAAATATACAGATATCAGTAAAGACTTGATTACAATATGGGGAAAATATACAGATATCAGTAAAGACTTGATTACAATATGGGGAAAATATACATATATCAGTAACTGTTTGACTGCTATGTGGGAAAATATACAGATATCGCTACAGACTGGATTACTATATGGGAAAATACAGAGAAATCATTTCAGACTGGATTATTCTTTGAGAAAATATACAGATATCAGTACAGGCGGGATTATCATATGGGAAAATATACAGATATCGGTACAGGCGGGATTACTATATGGGAAATATACAGATATCAGTACAGGCGGGATTACTATATGGGAAAATATACAGATATCAGTACAGGCGGGATTACTATATGGGGCAATATGTAGATATCAGTACAGGCGGGATTTCTATATAGGAAAATATACAGATATCAGTACAGGCGAGATTGCTATATGGGGAAATATGAAGATATCAGTACAGGCGAGATTGCTATATGGGGAATGATACAGATATCAGTACAAGCGAGATTGCTATATAGGGAAATATGTAGATATCAGTACAGGCGAGATTGCTATATGGGGAAATATACAGATATCAGTACAGGCGAGATTGCTATATGGGGAAATATGTAGATATCAGTACAGGCGGGAATGATACAGATATCAGTACAAGCGAGATTGCTATATAGGGAAATATGTAGATATCAGTACAGGCGAGATTGCTATATGGGGAAATATACATATATCAGTACAGGCGAGATTGCTATATGGGGAAATATGTAGATATCAGTACAGGCGGGAATGATACAGATATCAGTACAAGCGAGATTGCTATATAGGGAAATATACAGATATCAGTACAGGCGAGATTGCTATATGGGGAAATATGAAGATATCAGTACAGGCGAGATTGCTATATGGGGAAATATACATATATCAGTACAGGCGAGATTGCTATATGGGGAATTATGTAGATATCAGTACAGGCGGGAATGATACAGATATCAGTACAAGCGAGATTGCTATATAGGGAAATATGTAGATATCAGTACAGGCGAGATTGCTATATGGGGAAATATACAGATATCAGTACAGGCGAGATTGCTATATGGGGAAATATGTAGATATCAGTACAGGCGGGAATGATACAGATATCAGTACAAGCGAGATTGCTATATAGGGAAATATGTAGATATCAGTACAGGCGAGATTGCTATATGGGGAAATATACAGATATCAGTACAGGCGAGATTGCTATATATGGGAAATATGTAGGTACAGGCGGTTGCTAATGTGGAAATACAGATATCAGTACAAGCGAGATTGCTATATAGGGAAATATGTAGATATCAGTACAGGCGAGATTGCTATATGGGGAAATATACAGATATCAGTACAGGCGAGATTGCTATATAGGGAAATATGTAGATATCAGTACAGGCGAGATTGTTATATTGGGAAATATACAGATATCAGTACAGGCGAGATTGCTATATGGGGAAATATGTAGATATCAGTACAGGCGGGAATGATACAGATATCAGTACAAGCGAGATTGCTATATAGGGAAATATGTAGATATCAGTACAGGCGAGATTGCTATATGGGGAAATATGTAGATATCAGTACAGGCGGGAATGATACAGATATCAGTACAAGCGAGATTGCTATATAGGGAAATATGTAGATATCAGTACAGGCGAGATTGCTATATGGGGAAATATACAGATATCAGTACAGGCGAGATTGCTATATGGGGAAATATGTAGATATCAGTACAGGCGGGAATGATACAGATATCAGTACAAGCGAGATTGCTATATGGGGAAATATGTAGATATCAGTACAGGCGAGATTGCTATATGGGGAAATATACAGATATCAGTACAGGCGAGATTGCTATATAGGGAAATATGCAGATATCAGTACAGGCGAGATTGTTATATTGGGAAATATACAGATATCAGTACAGGCGGGATTGCTATATTGGGAAATTTACAGATATCAGTACAGGCGAGATTGCTATATGGGGAAATATACAGATATCAGTACAGGCGAGATTGCTATATAGGGAAATATGCAGATATCAGTACAGGCGAGATTGTTATATTGGGAAATATGCAGATATCAGTACAGGTTGGGTTACTAGTACCAGAGGTGTTACATTCTGATGGATAGACGAGGTTCACATGCGGTGTAAGGTTCGGTAACTAACCTTTGCAAAGCAGGAGAGAACATCCACTGACGAGTTTGAGAATTTGACCAGCGATGTCACCAACACGACCTAGAAAACAATTTTAGATTAGATGGACACTACAACATCAACATTCAAAGGCAACACTAGATTAGTATGGTTGTGACATTATTACATTTTAAATATACATTAGCACTGCTCACACAGCAGGCAATTGTTCATACTTGATTCAGATGAAAGTCACAGAGGTATCACATGGCTCTCATACTTGATTAGATTCACACAGGGCTAATGCCAGTCAGACAGGGCTCACATGGCTGTCACACTTCATTTACATATCAATTGCATATCATTTACGCCAATGTCACACAATAGTATATGTCACAGCGACTCACATCCTTGTCTATTTCCAGTGCCTTCTCCATCCGGGTCATGCACTCGGTCTTGAAGGTCTGCAGCCAGAACACCAGAGATTCCTGGAACCAGCGCTGGTACTGGTTTACTAGTAGGCGGAACATGTCCCTGTGGGTGAGACAGAAGAGTAGCTGACATGCAAGAACATGTGCGTGCCATGCTGTGTGTGGTGTGTATGTCCTGTGTGAGTTGGTATGTATCAGTGTTGTCTATGTATCACTTGACTATGCTGTGTTTGTATCATCTGTCAGTGTTGTGTATGATATACATGTATCAGCGTTGTGCATGGTGTATCACCTGTCAGTGTTGTGTATGATATACATGTATCAGGGTTGTGCATGGTGTATCACCTGTCAGTGTTGTGTATGATATACATGTATCAGCGTTGTGCATGGTGTATCACCTGTCAGTGTTGTGTATGATATACATGTATCAGAGTTGTGCATGGTGTATCACCTGTCAGTGTTGTGTATGATATACATGTATCAGCGTTGTGCATGGTGTATCACCTGTCTGTGTTGTGTATGATATACATGTATCAGCGTTGTGCATGGTGTATCACCTGTCAGTGTTGTGTATGATATACATGTATCAGCGTTGTGCATGGTGTATCACCTGTCAGTGTTGTGTATGATATACATGTATCAGAGTTGTGCATGGTGTATCACCTGTCAGTGTTGTGTATGATATACATGTATCAGCGTTGTGCATGGTGTATCACCTGTCAGTGTTGTGTATGATATACATGTGTCAGCGTTGTGCATGGTGTATCACCTGAGTGTTGTGTATGATATACATGTATCATGGTGTATCACCTGTCAGTGTTGTGTATGATATACATGTATCAGAGTTGTGCATGGTGTATCACCTGTCATGTATGATATCATGTATCAGCGTTGTGCATGGTGTATCACCCTGTCAGTGTTGTGTATGATATACATGTATCAGAGTTTGTGCATGGTGTATCACCTGTCTGTGTTGTGTATGATATACATGTATCAGCGTTGTGCATGGTGTATCACCTGTCAGTGTTGTGTATGATATACATGTATCAGAGTTGTGCATGTGCATGGTGTATACACAGAGTTGTGCATGGTGTATCACCTGTGTGTGTTGTATGATGATACATGTATCAGCGTTGTGCATGGTGTATCACCTGTCAGTGTTGTGTATGATATACATGTATCAGTATCAGTTGTGCATGGTGTATCATCACCTGTCAGTGTTGTGTATGATATACATGTATCAGAGTTGTGCATGGTGTATCACCTGTCAGTGTTGTGTATGATATACATGTATCAGAGTTGTGCATGGTGTATCACCTGTCTGTGTTGTGTATGATATACATGTATCAGAGTTGTGCATGGTGTATCATCTGTCAGTGTTGTGTATGATATACATGTATCAGAGTTGTGCATGGTGTATCATCTGTCAGTGTTGTGTATGATATACATGTATCAGAGTTGTGCATGGTGTGTCAGTGTGCATGGTGTATCACCTGTATGATACATTATCAGCGTTGTGCATGGTGTATCATCTGTCAGTGTTGTGTATGATATACATGTATCAGCATTGTGCATGGTGTATCACCTGTCAGTGTTGTGTATGATATACATGTATCAGAGTTGTGCATGGTGTATCACCTGTCTGTGAGACCCTCCCTGATGAGAAGGAAGAACTTCCTGATGGCGAAGTACAGTCCCAGGGAGTGCCGGCTGCTCTGCGCGATGTTGACGGGGAAGTTGTGATACCGCACCATGTACTTGTCCATTTCCAACATCAACTCTCGCGCAGCTGTTGACAACTGCCAATATACAGACAGTTCCTGACATCAACATAATCTCTCTGATATGCTCAAACTACAATACCCCGTTCTGATCTTCTCTCGGCTACAGTCTCTCTCTCTCTCTCCACACTCACGCATACACACACGCACAAGCACACAGGCACGCCCGCACACGTGTATATCCTGTTTGTGTGTCATGAACTCAACAAAACGACCATTTGAGTCTACTCACTTCAGATGAAGAGGACCAAATCAGGGGCGGATGCAGCTTTTTAAAGGGAGGTGGTGCGCGCGCTCGTGTGTGTGTGTGTGCGTGCGCACTCTTGAGAAGAAGGGGAGGGGTTGTACACACTTCATTTTCACCCGTTCACGGGTAATTTAATATACTTTCAGGACAAAAGAGGCACGCACGCACGCACGCACGCACGCACACCGGATCCGCGCGTTTGCAAATGGTCACTTAAACACATGATTTGTTTTAGTCTTTTCGGGTTAATGTGACAAGGGAAGTAACTCTTTTTGGCTTATTTCATCACGAAAACACTTTCTGTCAAACCTACCTTTCTCTCTGTTCTGAATGCAACAACCCTGTAGTACTTGACCCCCAGGGAGCCGTAGAACTTGGTGATGACCCCAGGGGACTGCAATGAGAGGCTAAAGCCTTGGTGGTCTCGGTCAGGGATATCACTTCCGGTATCACAGAGTCCTTCACCTTTTTGTGCGAGTAGACCTCCTGGAGTTTCTCTGTCATCCAAAGGTCAATGTCTGACTGGAAAACAGCAGATAACTTGAGATACACATGGATATACGTTGATACGCAGTTTAAAGCATTGCACTTGGTTGGCGCAATAGATCTGACCTTACACTGTGTCACCCAGCGACAGTACTGACATATATGATCTTGAATTGGTGATTTTGTTTTACCTGATTTAACCAGTTTTCCAGTTACACGAGGGCCTGTTAACTTAATGCGGGAGGCGTGCCCGGAGTAATGAACGTTTCAGACGTTTACAACAGTGTGCTAACCCACCAACAAAGACAGTGATGTGAAACCGAGAAATATGACAAATGTTCATCGTGTTCTGCTACACCAAAGGGAAGCAACCCTGCTTATAGTATTTAGGGTCCTTAGGTGACTACACCGCCTGCATCAGTAATTACCCGTGTTACAAAACCATTCGTGCATCGGAAAGAAAACATTCATTACCTGTAATTTTTGGAACAGTTTATCTGCAAGTTCGTTTTGTGTTGAAGAGGACGAGTCCCAGAGATCTAGCTCGAGCAGATGTATGGCTAGGCTGGAACAAAGACAGTTGTTTTACAGCCAGAATGTAAACACGGAAAATGTTGTATAGCCGACTGTTGATTGTCACCGACCCATAAAAAAAACCCAGTCGAAACATTATTCTATCTACTACACATTAATCATTCACCCAACCACCCATCCTACTCACCAGGCTCCTCGCCAACCACCCGACTCAGCAACCACAACCCACCCTACTCACCACATAACTCACCAACACCCATCCCTCGAACTCTACTCAGTGTACTCACCCATCCTACTCACCACATAACTCACCAACACCACCCATCCACTCGACTCAGTGTACTCACCCATCCTACTCACCACGCTACTCAACACTACTCACCAATCAGATTCCTCACCACTCACCAAACACCACCCACTCTACTCAGTGTACTCACCCATCCTACTCACCACAGTACTCACCAACCACCACCTACCCATCCACTCACCAACCGGAATCCACACCACGCACCAACCACCACCCACCCTAACCACTACCACACATCTAAACCACCACATATACTATCTACCACTCACGCAACCACCATTATCCACTCAACCACTACCCATCCAAACCACAAAACATCATCACCCCCAGAAAACACCCCACCACCCACCAACCCCAGAACAACAGATGCTTACCCCAGAGAGCCTTTGAGTGTGATAAGACTCTCTGCTGACGGCGGGAAGAGGCTGGGTAGTTCATGCAGCTTGCTGGTCAGGGAGCTGATGTAGTTCCGGGTGCCGGTGCGGTACAGGCTGATCTGAAACATCACTCACAGTGAGTTCGTACGAACTATTCGACTAATTTTTCTATACATACCTTCACTCATGAATGGCATATCTGTAACAGTATATGCCGGCAAAAGAAAGTATAAACTTGAGATTGGATTTGAACGAAAACATAACAGACGTCATAAAACCTAATTTGCCGGAAACCAGTTGTGGAGCTGTGTAGCAATGGTTGTAACAAGATTTAACTAACACGCAGCCATGTGTATGCAAGCACGCAATATGTCAACTATCTGTCTGCTGCCATCACCTAAAAACTGAACATAATTTACCATATGATTCCGTATATAATGTCTATTTTAAAACATTGTATATTTCTTTTCTTTGCACATAAAACACAAAAATCGATTATCTATTGACATGTTTTGTAACTGTTCCTTGGCAACAGTTTATTGGAGTCCATTTTTAATTATATCCTGCTGCTATCACTAGCCGTCGTATCGTAATACATCACTGTCTTACGATGATACTTCCAACATTGTTGACAATGTTTAAAAGTGATGCTGACCGCTTTGCCAGAGGTTTAGGGTTGGGGGTAGCTTACTAGGCAAGCCGAAGACCCGATTCGATTCCCCACATGGTACATTGTGTCAAGTCAACTTCTGGTGTCCGTGATATTGCTGGAATATTGCTAAAAGCGGCGTAAAACCATACTCACACACTCCAGTGGAGTATTAGATGACTGTTTGACTGACATCCAACAAGTTTGAATAAAGCTTGTACCGGTTCGTGTTTTTGTTGATTTCCATTTACCCCTTTTACATTGGAGTAGCAAACGATTATAGTCATATATGTAGATCTGCTTTTAGCAGCAATACTTCCACAGACCTCTCAAAGGGTGACATGTACGTCCATTGGTCTATTCAACATATCGTCCGATTTAATACTACCGATTTAATGTATCATGTGATTTCAGACCTCCGTTTGTTTTATAATTGTAATACAATTTGGTTTTGTGACACAATTTGTCCCACTGTCGCTTATTAGAGTGGGCTGACTTCGGAACGTGCGCTCCACTACCTCGGAGTCTGACAACGGCATCCTCTGTGTGAGCTCCTGCCCGCATGCCTGCATCGCCAGCCACGTCATTTCCACCTCCTCCAGCGACTTGTGCAGCACCGTGTCCGACAGACACTGGATCTCCTTGTCCGGGGACGCCACCAGCTCCAGCAGCACCGTCAGATCCCTGCAGATACAACGCACAATTGTACTTTACACAACACTGTCAGATCCCTGCAGATACAACGCATACAATTGTACTTTACACAACACTGTCAGATCCCTGCAGATACAACACACACAATTGTACTTTACACAACACTGTCAGATCCCTGCAGATACAACACACACAATTGTACTTTACACAACACTGTCAGATCCCTGCAGATACAACACACACAATTGTACTTTATACAACACTGTCAGATCCCTGCAGATACAACACATACAATTGTACTTTACACAACACTGTCAGATCCCTGCAGATACAACACACACAACACACAATTGATACTTTACAACAACACTGTCAGAACCCTCAGTGCAGATACAACACACACAATTGTACTTTACACAACACTGTCAGATCCCTGCAGATACAACACACACAATTGTACTTTACACAACACTGTCAGATCCCTGCAGATACAACGCATACAATTGTACTTTATACAACACTGTCAGATCCCTGCACATACAATTGTACATACAACACAATTGTACTTTATATAACACTGTCAGATCCCTGCAGATACAACACACACAATTGTACTTTACACAACACTGTCAGATCCCTGTAGATACAACACATACAATTGTACTTTATACAACACTGTCAGATACAAGACATACAATTGTACTTTATATAACACTGTCAGATCCCTGCAGATGCAACGCATACAATTGTACTGTGAACAACACCGACAGATCGCTGCAGATACAACATATACAATTGTACTTTATACAACACTGTCAGATCCCTGCAGATACAACACACACAATTGTACTTTACACAACACTGTCAGATGCAAGTCACACGATTCTACTTTGAACAACCCTGACACTGCCATCTGTTTACACGTACTGATACGTCATCAGAATATACAGTATAGTGACACCTGTGTTGTCTGATGACACATTAGTGTCATTTGACTATCTGGAATCGGCTGTCATTCCATATGATTGAACACTTCTGTGATATCTATTGGCTGGCATTCCATATTTGAACACTTCTGTGATAGTATCTGGTTTATTCTGTGATACAATCTGGTTTATTCGTTTTGTGATACTATCTTTGCTGGAATATTGCAGCGACGTAAAACACTCAGTCACACACTCGAAACAAGTACCTACAGGATGGACTGGGAGAGCTTTGATATCCTATTCCCAATGGCAAATGTGTCGAGAATTCGTCGACTTTGTGGAGACAGCAATAACGCAGAGTCGGTACAATCCTGGAACAGAAAAAAGAAGTGAAATATTCCGCCAGATACTCTTCCTTGTAATGAAATGTCGATGAATCTATCATATTAAGAATATCACAATGAAAGTACTGGAATGGCATTGACATATATCTCTTGCTGAAGTGGTGGCTGAGCGGGTTAGACGGCTGACTTTGTGTGCTGGCGATTAGGTGCTTGACTCTGAGGGTGTGGGTTTGAATCCCGGATGGGACTCAACCCAACAAAAGAACTAGAATCTAGATTTTACTAAGAAAGTGTAATCCCAAATATAACATGTTACATTTGACCGCTTTCTAAATGGCATTGTGTATTGATGGGACAAGGGTGTTTACAACATATTTATTTTAATCTTCCGCTCAATCTTGGCGAGACTGTGCTCAAAGGCTATCTGACAAGACAAATGTAGTTTTATTGACAGCACCTGGCACAATTGTTTGCTCACAATGATATGGTATTTTTGTTTCTTCGTTATTTAAAACAAATTTACAGACAGTTTGTACATATGTTAAGCATATAATTGTACAATAGTCGTATGACCAGTTCCTTTGTAAAAGGCATAGCATATAATGAACAAGCGTACATCGTGCGTTGTCTCACCTTGTTGACCTTGACCGCATGTTTGTGGTGGATGAGCGACACCTGGTGGTAGTCTTCGACGGAGAAACACGCACCTGACTGTACAAACAGACAGGGGAGGTAATTTAGTTCGCCTGTTGATTCATACATCATAAGATTTGCATTTCACTTTTCACACGTAGTACAATCTGTGTAAGGTGTCAATACATATCAATTGTTGAATTATTGAATGAAATATACAATACTGACAGTGATCAACTGACCTGCATGTAGGATATGGCCAGTCGCACGCGGCACTGACCAACAGGTTTTGTCTTGGCGCTGACCGGCCCCACTGGATATACATTCATCCACCTGTCCACGCTGTTGGTGGCAATATCCTGGAACATGGAATACACCGGTTTCTCATATCGAAAAATCTAATTCTGTGCGAAAAATATAGCTGTTTTATGATCCTTTCCTCTTGTCGTTCAGGGATAGAATGTCCACTTAAAACCAACGTAAAATAACACTGACCGCCACAAACTGATGTGCTCTAAAACCCATCAGAGACAGTTTCGGAATCTCGCAAAAGAGTGTTAATGTTAATATCACAGTTTTATGACATAGTACCGCCATCTTCATACATACAACGTCCATTATAAGCTTTAATGTACCGTGTGGCATATCAAGAGTTGATTAGTGTTGGGAATTGGTTAAAATCTCATACTTGATGCTTGGTTCATTACAACCGATCAATCATCGAAAATAATTGGTTAGCGTCATTTATGAAATGTGTTAATGCACAAAAAAGTAAGGAAAAAAACATGTAGTTCTTTGGGGTTTTTTTGGCAAAATTTCACATCTTTAAAGGATGACTAGTATGGAGGATCATACATTTCTTAGAGTCTTTAAGATAAATTCAATCATGACTTGGAACGAGCTTGTAGTGCTTATGAAATGTAACAGACAAAACCAACCTAGTGAAAAATAGTGTTACTAGAATTGTTTGTGTTCGATTATGAGAAAACATGATCGATTGCTTGGTCGTTTAGTCACTGCGACCAATCTTCGATTATTTCAATTAATCGGAACACCACTAGAGTTGATCTGTGGTAACCAATAGATATCGACGAGATTTCTGGATCACTGCCTAATTAATCATTCACCAGATTGTTTGGTCCAGGATCGATTAATTCGGCCCTGTCATACAGTTGCAATATTGCTGACGTTAAAATATAATCAGTAAATGAATCAGAACAATATGTAGTCATTCTCTTTTCTTTTGAGTATTTGGAACTCTACAAACTGACCTTGCGTTATTTATAATCATTTCTACGGGAATGCAACCCAAAGAGGGCCTCATGGTTCATGTACATACCCGAACTGGGACAACTATCCGCCCGATGCATCCTGGGATATGTTTCTCATGCTCTGATGAAGATGCCAAGACGTTGCGGAAGAAGCTGAAACAGATAATAATAATGTTTAAAGAGTGAATTTTGTACCGTATTCGAATTCTCTGATGGCGTGAACCGATGTCGGAGATAACCAGAAGCGAGGCCAATCTTTGATATTTATCATGTTGGTGAAACCCAAAATCAGAGGCATGGTGCCGACAAACCCGGATCAGGCGAATCTGGATTCGAACTCATGATCATGTGATGTTGGCCTACATGGCCAAACTGCTGCAATGTGCAGAATTTGTGGAAGAGATAGAAATGACCAATACAAGATACACATGTATGTGTATGTCAAAGTATCTTAGGTTTAGAACAGAATCATGGAGCTTGGGTTTAACATTCAAACAAAAGACGGTCGTCCTACCTCTTGAGAGAGTTACCACCCTTGTCATGGTGTTTGCTTTCATGAAGTGTGACGTCCGCATCTTGAAGGAAGAAGCACACGTGCAACTCATCTGTGAAGAGGTCTTCTATTTCCCTGAAGGACAAAAGTGAGAATTTTTACAGAAGGGCATCTTTACACAGATAGCATTGATGATATATGGCTTAAGGTCTTCCATTTTGCTTTCATAAAATAAGCACGGAAGGCTTTGGGTCAACAAGACCGTGATTCTTGGTTTACTAGATACTTTCTTACTGACCACGAGGGCGGTGGGGTAGCCTAGTGGTTAAAGCGTTCGCTCGTCGCGCCGAAGACCCGGGTTCGATTCCCCACATGGGTACAATGTGATTCCAACACATGGGTACAATGTGTGAAGCCCATTTCTGGTGTTCCCCGCCGTGATATTGCTGGAATATTGCTACAAGCGGCGTAAAACTAAACTCACGCACTGTACTGACCACGACATTGACCCCTGATACTGAACTGCTTGGACACCATTGCATTACTGACCACGTCTCATCATAGACAACGATTCCATTGCCAGTCACTCCAAAACTATCCCGGCATGTGAAGTTTTGTTGTCATATATTTTTAGTGTAATGAACCCTTACTTGTCGTAAGAGGCAACTAACGGGATCGGGTGGTCAGGCTCGCTGATTTGGTTGACACATGTCATCGTAACCCAATTGCCTAGATCGATGCTCATGATGCTGATCACTGGGTTTACTGGTCCAGGCTCGAATATTTACAACCCGTCGCCATATAGCTGCAACAGTGCTGGGTGCGGCGTTAAACAACAATCAAACTAGAAAAATAGTGGTGTAATGTTAAAAGAAGGCATCGTCCAGGTTTTCACTTTCATAACGGGGTAATAATGATCCACGGCTTTTGCTACATTGAATTCCCTCGAGTGTTGCTGTTCCAGTCCTGGAGGTGCTGAAGTCCTCTTAGTAAACTATTATTGGTTTTAATTCTATTTTTAAACTTGATGGTTGTAATATATTTTGTTGAACTCATCCTACATCCGCTGATGCCTTGTGGGTATTTATTTACATAACGCTATATCGAAGTTTATTCCAATTAGGAATTAATTCCCATTTACCACTAACAATCAAACACAAATGAGCGGGCGTTTGACTGGAAGCAAGACGTGGACATATTCACTTCAGCTCGATGATGATTTAAAGTTCAGTTTGCCAAGAGCAAACGATTAGGTTGACATAAACTCAGATTTCATTGGGTGGTGTCATTATATTCCATAGTATGAATTCCCTCTTCAGTGAGTACTGGGTTACGAAAGAAAAATTAAACTACTTCCCCACCTACGTTAATTCCTGATATATGAAGTCAATACTCTTACTACTGCTTCGCTGGAGATAGAAAATATATAATATATCTCCCAAACACACTAGGGTACTCAAGTGTGGGATCGGAATTTACTGTCAGGCTCCATAAGATGGAGTCACGAGGTTATGTAGATCGGTGAGTTTACCAAGGTCGTACAGGGCATAATAAAAAAATCGCTAACACCCTGTGTCACCTTTGATATTCAGTGCATGCATATAACGCCGACCTTTATTTTTAGACAAGTAATTGAGAATGGTTGCTCTTAAGAGTTGACTTTTTATGTGTACGATTGAAAAAAACAGAATTATACAGTCAGGAACCACGACGAATCTGGACATCTTCCACCAATGGTTGTATGTTTCTTTGTTTGTTGTTTAACGCCGCACTCAGCAATATTCCAGCTATATGGCGTTGGTCTGTAAATAATCGAGTCTGGACCAGACCATCGAGTGATCAAAGCATGAGCATCGACCCAGGCAGTTGGGGTACGATGACATGTGTCAACCAAATCAGCGAGCTTGACCACCCGATATCGTTAGTCGCCTCTTACGACAAGCATTTGGAGCTGAAGTCCAGTTCTAACCCGGATCTTCACGGGTATCCATTGACCAATGACCTCCCCCTGTCCACTAGTCTCTCTCACAGTCCCTGAACCACGTTATTTCCCTACTGCCTGGGCTACTGGGCTCCTTTTAATCTAAATAGGTTTATTTGCTACCATCAAAATTATATATATTTAGAGGCTAAGCGTTAGTCTGACTGTGCACATGAGAAGGCCAATGCAACAGCACATGAGTATAAACATATGAATGTCGACCTTCGATGCGACACTTTTGGTATAGGCTTGTTATTGTGGTTTGTAACCTCTAATTAGTATTCTCTGAAGTAGAGCGGTGATCAAACGAACTCACAAGTAAAACTCTTCATTCCACTTGGGCTGAGCGAATCCTCTTGCCGTCTGTGATCGGAGCACATCATTTCCGTGTTCCTGTGAGCCAGGTCGTGGTTGATGATGTTTTCGCAGCGGAAGTGGACTCCCCATCGGGGACGACCGAGGGGACGCCCTGGGGGATGATTTGGGGGAATACTTGGATGACTTGGTCGGGTTTACAATGGTGAGGATACAGTAAGGGTTGAACTCGCCATGCGCTACAAGAGAATATCTTGATGATCAGTCTTCATCTTCCCCACCCGAGAAGCAGCATGTCACCGCCCACACATAGCATACATCATGAAACTTCATTCTCAGATCGTTTGATTACTGTTTCGAGATTTCATGCATGGACCCTACCAGTGTTAGTTTGACTGATTCCCTTACAGGTGGTCGTGTTAATGGACCCCACGTGTGATGTTTCGCCTGATTCCCCTACAGGTGGTCGTGTTAATGGACCCCACGTGTGACGTTTTCGCCTGATTCTCCTGTTCATGTTTCTCCGAAACCGTATCTAATTTCGTGTCCATGGAATCAAACCATAACGATTATGAATGATCTTACTGGAGGTCGTTTCCATGGAAACACACATGATGGTTTCAGTACATCCCGGCTGGTGATCAGTTCCATTAACCAACAGATCCATATTGTTTAAAACCCTGTGTGATAGCGTTCCGTGAATCTTTTATTGACGTGTTCCCAAAGAAGTTAGTTGACTCACCTTTTGGCTGTTTGTCGGCAACTCTGAGGTCTCGTGCTTCTATCACAGTTGCACATACTTGAATCTTCTTTGGCTGAAAGAAAACGGTTATTGAATTAGACACTAAAACCATGTACCAATGTAGCAACAGAAACGGAAGGCTTTATGTCTTTTCAGATCTATTAATATCCTCACCTTATTCTTTGCTTCTTCTCTGATAAAATATTCGTGATCGTCCTGGTCGATTCCAAACACCTGCAAAATATAATATGGAAAACATAGACGACATATTCTCACTCATAACACCTCACCTCATAGGGCAACTAAGAAAATCTTAGTTATAGTCAATTAACTCATATTTCCACATTTTAAACATATAAAAGATTAATTTATTGTGGGCATTAATCAAATATTCCCTTTAGCACTGAGTGTTATTTCCGTAAATAATGTGAACGTGAGGACCTATTCAGACCAGTCTCAGTGATATACCAGCTATATCTGTGGCTCGATCTCTGCTCTGTAATGTTTACAATGCAGTGGAATGTGTGACCTATATTCCGCTCAGACACCATGTATGTACATATTGACATAACACATATCTCCAGGCTTTCGTCCCAGATCTGGTCTGAACTACCTCCTCGGTCTGATGTGACCCACGTCCCCGATCTGGTGTGACCTAACTCCTCGGTGTGGTGCGACCTACGGCCCCTATTTGATGCGACCTACATCCCCGATCTGATGTGACCTACCTCCTCGATCTGATGTGACCTACCTCCTCGATCAGGTGTGACCTACCTCCTCGATCTGATGTGACCTACCTCCTCGATCTGGTGTGACCTACCTCCTCGATCTGGTGTGACCTACCTCCCCGATCTGGTGTGACCTAACCTTCCCCGATCTGGTGTGACCTACCTCCCCGATCTGATGTGACCTACCTCCTCGATCTGATGTGACCTACCTCCCCGATCTGGTGTGACCTACCTCCCCGATCTGATGTGACCTACCTCCTCGATCTGATGTGACCTACCTCCTCGATCTGGTGTGACCTACCTCCTCGATCAGGTGTGACCTACGTCCCCGATCTGATGTGACCTACGTCCCCGATCAGGTGTGACCTACGTCCCCGATCTGATCTGACCTAACTCCCCGATCTGGTCTGACCCTACCTCCCCGATCTGGTGTGACCTACCTCCTCGATTTGATGTGACCTACCTCCTCTGTGTGACCTACCTCCTCGATCAGGTGTGACCTACGTCTCCCTGATCTGATGTGACCTAACTCCCCGATCTCCCCGACCTACACTCCCCGATGACCTACCTCCTCGATCTGTGTGACCTACGTCTTCGATCTGGTGTGACCTACCTCCCCGATCTGATGTGATCCACCTGATCTGACGTCCCATCTGATCTGAGTGACGCCATGACCCCATAGTGTGCCCCGTCCTGTCCTCACTTACCTGTGTGATCCCCAGGTTCCCAGTCCCCCCTCTGCCCCTCCCTCTCCCTCTGTCGTGACTTACCTGTCTTCAGATCATCCCCTCCCTCCCAGGACCCCGGAGGACCCCATCTGTGTGTGTCCCCTCCCTCTGTCGTGACTTACCTGTCTTCAGATCATCCCCAGTTCCCCCCCGAGGACCCCATCTGTGTGTCCCTCCCTCTGTCTGTGACTTACCTGTCTGTCTTCAGATGATCCACCAGGCCCCGGAGGACCCCATCTGTGTGTCCCCTCCCTCTGTCGTGACTTACCTGTCTTCAGATGATCCACCAGGCCCCCGGAGGACCCCATCTGTGTGTCCTCTCCCTCTGTCGTGACTTACCTGTCTTCAGATGATCCCCCAGGCCCCCGGAGGACCCCATCTGTGTGTCCCCTCCCTCTGTCGTGACTTACCTGTCTTCAGATCATCCACCCAGGACCCCGGAGGACCCCATCTGTGTGTCCCCTCCCTCTGTCGTGACTTACCTGTCTTCAGATCATCCACCAGGCCCCCGGAGGACCCCATCTGTGTGTCCCCTCCCTCTGTCGTGACTTACCTGTCTTCAGATGATCCCCAGGCCCCCGGAGGACCCCATCTGTGTGTCCCCTCCCTCTGTCGTGACTTACCTGTCTTCAGATGATCCACCAGGCCCCCGGAGGACCCCATCTGTGTGTCCCCTCCCTCTGTCGTGACTTACCTGTCTTCAGATCATCCCCCAGGACCCCGGAGGACCCCTCTGTGTGTCCCTCCCTCTGTCGTGACTTACCTGTCTTCAGATCATCCAGGCCCCAGGGACCCCTGTGTGGAGGACTTACCCCCCATCTGCCCCGGAGGACCCCTCTCCCTCTGTCGTGACTTACCTGTCTTCAGATGATCCAACAGGCCCCCCGGAGGACCCCCCAGGAGGACCCCTCTGTCGTGACTTACCTCTGTGTGTCCCCTCCCTCCCTGTCGTGACTTACCTGTCTTCAGATGATCCAACAGGCCCCGGAGGACCCCTCAGTGTGTCCCCTCCCTCTGTCGTGACTTACCTGTCTTCAGATCATCCCCAGGACCCCGAAGGACCCCTCAGTGTGTCCCCTCCTCTGTCGTGACTTACCTGTCTTCAGATGATCCACCAGGCCCCGGAGGACCCCCTCAGTGTGTCCCTCCCTCTGCCGTGACTTACCTGTCTTCAGATCATCCCCAGGCTCCCGGAGGACCCCATCTGTGTGTCCCCTCCCTCTGTCGTGACTCACCTGTCTTCAGATCATCCCCCAGGCTCCCGGAGGACCCCATCTGTGTGTCCCTCCCTCTGTCGTGACTTACCTGTCTTCAGATCATCCCCCAGGCCCCCGGAGGACCCCCTCTGTGTGTCCCCTCCCTCTGTCGTGACTCACCTGTCTTCAGATGATCCACCAGGTCCCCGATCCTCCATGACCCCCCTCTGTGTGCCCCCTTCCCCCTTCCCTCTGTCGTGACTCACCTGTCTGAGGTGATCAACCAGGTCCCCCGGCCTGAGTCCAATCTCCGAGTCAGGGGTGCCGAGTGGATGTAGGAGGCAACGCAGTAAACCCCGGAACAGAGCCTCGTTCTGGGGAAACAACGGCATTGTTGTACATGGAAGTACTTCCGGCAAGGTCGCTTATGATAACTGAGATTTTGATTTCCTATTGATAACTATATAACATGGTGGTAGGCCAACCATAAAGATATTCCGACATGTGCAGTTGCCCTCGCCGTTACAACTTTGCATTACAACCCGGAAGAATATAGAATGCTTAAGCTGGGGTTTATACACACGTGATTTACAACAGGGAAAGTACAGTGCAATAACTATGCGAGGTAATGACAAGGACACTGCAACAAGGTTGCTGAATCAAGACCCCAACAACAGTGAAATCATGGAGTGAAAGCAACAATGTGACCGTCTCAACAATGTAACGACGGTAAAGTCATAATGTTTTAACGCCGCACTTAGCAATATTGCAGCTATATGAGTGAGTGAGTACAGTTTACGCCGCATTTAGCAATATTCCAGCAATATCACGGCGGGGGACATCAGAAATGGGCTTCACGCACTGTGGGGAGTCGAACCCGGGTCTGACGAGCGAACGCTTTACCTAGTTGGCTACCCCCACCGCAGGCAGTTATATAACGGCGGTCTGTAAATGTTCGCCTCTTGAGAAAACACTCTAATGATCAAAATCATGAGCATCAACTTATGCAGTCAGGAAACCATGACGTACGTCGGAAAATGGAGAGATCCCGAGCACCTGTTCCCGTTAGTCGCCAACGTAGCAATGTTGTAATAACATTGGATCACCCAACGTAACAATGTTGTAATAACATTGGATCACCAACGTAGCAATGTTGTAATAACATTGGATCACCAACGTAACAATGTTGTAATAACATTGGATCACCAACGTAACAATGTTGTAATAACATTGGATCACCAACGTAGCAATGTTGTAATAACATTGGATCACCAACGTAACAATGTTGTAATAACATTGGATCACCAACGTAACAATGTTGTAGTAACATTGGATCACCAACGTAGCAATGTTGTAATAACATTGGATCACCAACGTAGCAATGTTGCAATAACATTGGATCACCAACGTAGCAATGTTGTAATAACATTGGATCACCAACGTAGCAATGTTGTAATAACTTTGGATCACCAACGTAGCAATGTTGCAATAACATTGGATCACCAACGTAGCAATGTTGCAATAACATTGGATCACCAACGTAGCAATGTTGAAAAACGGTGCCGCAACAATATAACAATACTGAAACAACACTGTAGCAACAACATAACAATAATTTAACAACGGTGGCACAACAACATAATAACGTAACAACACTGTGAATACATAAAACATTCAAGCAGCAGGCCTAAAGTCAAACCTGTTAGCAACACTGTACAAAGAATGTGACTCTATTTACATTTCTTTAATTTAACATTAAAGTTATATCTATTTGTTTTACTCAAATTCCAAAAATCCCATTTGTTAAGTTTGATATTTAGTTTCAGAACAAAGGTTGTTTCGTTCAGATAGAATTTGCAAGTCAATCATTTTATAAATGCTCAAATGTAACATCATTCCAAAATGTGCATTAAATTTCAATATCAAATGTGGATCCAAATATAACTGTAAAATGAAGGATACATCAGATTAGCTTTAAGCTATTATATTAAATTGCGAATCAAAGAACGTATTTATAGGCTACCGTGCGGAGTATAAATTCAGTTAGATTAACGCTACTGGATGTGTAAATATGTGGACAATAACTAGATTAGAAAGTATTTGTCCTGAGATAACTGTATTCGAAAGTCCGGGCTAAGTGAAAATGAACTAAAGTAACAAGCACTTTAAAGGCATGGTTTCACTTGTCCGTGTTACTATGTAGGATCCAGTGACGAATGTGTCATCATGGGGGAACCAGTGACGAATGTGTGTGACAACGCAGGATCCAGTGACACAGGCAGACTCAGATACGGCAATAAACTCAACACACCCATGCTTTTCATGACAACGACTCTTCTGAGAACACACATCCCATTACATTTTTATGTAAAGTACAGATACCAGTACTTGTGTTAAGTTGAGTCCCATCTGGGCTTCGAACACAGACTCTCAGAGTCAGGCACCTAATCACAAAGTCAGCAATCTAACCCACTCAGCCAGCGCATCCTCAACAAAATGGAAGTCGGACAACTGGTAATCTAGAATACGTTTGACCACTTTCTAAATGGCTTTGTGTGAAAAGTAAATGGCCTGACTTTAGTGAACTATAATAAAAGGTAAATGTTTTGACTGTATAAATGGGTTGAATCCATTGAAGGTAAATGTTTTGACTGTATTAATGGGTTGAATCCATTGAAGGTAAATGCTTTGACTGTATGAATGGTTTGAATCCATTGACGGTAAATGGTTTGACTGTATAAATGGTTTGAATCCATTGAATGTAAATGGTTTGACTGTATAAATTGTTTGAATCCATTGAAGGTAAATGATTTGACTGTATAAATGGTTTGAATCCATTGAAGGTAAATGGTTTGACTGTATATATTGCTTGAATCCATTGAAGGTAAATGGTTTGACTGTATATACTGCTTGAATGCATTCAAGGCAAATGGTTTGACTGCATCGAAAAGTTAATAGTTTGACTGCCGTGAAAGTTAAATTGTTGTAAACAAGGGGTACTACATGTCTACGATACTCGGTATACGCAGCCTAAAGTAGTTTCTGTTGCCCAGTGTTAAATCAGCAACGGACTTTAGTGGAAGGTTCTGAAGGAGGCGTGACACTGTACGTGACGCTAGTGACCAGTAGTGGCCGGACAGTGACAGCTATACCTAGCTCTGACTGCCAGCCACTCCGCGACCATACGGACGGACAACACAGCTGCGCATGGCCTCTACATTCCTGCATAATTAAGCCAACTCAGTGATATGGAAGACCTCCTTTAAAGCATCTAGAGATTGTCACATATTTCTGCATCTACGTTTGTCGTGACTGACTGTGTATCTTGCATTACGTTGGCCTACGGACATTGATAGCCAGCTTAACGACGATTAGGAGATAGTGTATCAAGACACCTGCCTAAGATGATTTCTTTAAAGATTGCAGCGGTCACGTGATTCCAGCTCGGGTATCTAATGACGGCTCGTGTAACGGAGTGTACGTATGAAAATACATTGCTACTGCCTTAAAATATACATTAATGATCACGATTTGTCTTTATTATTCGAAATGAAACGTTTCAGGATCAGCGGATGGCTATCTCATTCATTCAAGATGAGGGTAGCCTAGTGGTTAAAGCGTTCGCTCGTCGCGCTGAACACCCGGGTTTGATTCCCTACATAGGTACAATGTGTGAAGCCCACTTCTGGTGTCCCTCGCCGGATATTGCTGGAATATTGCAAAAAGTGGTCTAATTTAACCACACTCACTCACTCATTCAAGATAAACATTTCAACATTACTTATTTCGATGAGAAATGCTAAGGGGGATGGGATAAGGGGTTGTGATGCAAAGCTCGAGGTGTCCATGATGCAATATGTCAGTTGCTGCCACATTAACTGGCGAGCCACGGGGTTCCTGGTCAGCACGGATGCCAGCCAACCTAAGCCCTTCAGAAGATACGTCTTAAAGGATTGGTGTGTGCTTTAGCTGAGCACTTGTCATAATATCGTGGCATATGTTATCATAATATCAATCACTGGATTGCCAGGTCCAAACTCGATTATTTACAAGCGAAAGCTATATAGCTGGAAACCGCAATATGGAAGCGATAAAATCAAACACAAATAACATAGGTAAAGATGAAACGTAATACGACGTAACCATGGTGACCAAGTGAAGGAGTGCTCACATATAATACCACGCAAACTAAATAAAAGACCTGAGCTTAAGACAATTATGAAGAAAGACCTTTGGATTCTACTTCAGTTCCTCTGATCAGTATACACATATATACTTTCGACAGGTTCTTGCAGTGATTTACATTACTAAGAGCGCAAACAAGAAAGTGCCATGAAATTAACATTCTTACCATGTCCTTTGTTCAAAAGAGAATACTTTTAAACCGTTGAGCTTCTGTTCACGAACCACATAGGCTAATGGGTGCTTCACTAAGGCAATGCAGCGTTGCCCGAATACAAGATTTATAGGTGCAGACATGTTGTTTACTCAAGAAACGACCCTGTTAATGAAAGGTGTGTACGTTATACTGAACCTCTGAATATGTGGCCCCTCCGTCACCATACCTGTATGGCTACCTGTACAAGGTAAACACATCGTGTGTTATTTGCATTAACCTAAATCCCATATCCAGGGAAGGCTTGTTGATAAAACACTGACCTTTGGCAGATAAGAAAGATCAAATGACACAAACTTAAACCTCTAAGGTTACTAATAAAAGTCTTTTCTTGAGAACAGAAAAAAACTATGAGTAGGGGTGAATCAAGGGGCCATTTTCTCACCTCAATTGTTGCGATACTGTCACGTGACGCATTGCTGATTTTTCTCCCGACTTCATTAAACAAGTGATCAAGATTGTACGAGTTTATGGAAGCTTTCCGTCGGTCAAAAGAGGACTTCCTCCGGAAACTCAACCGGCGGAACACTTTGGTGAAAACCCCCGGCGATGACGGGGACGACGCGGCGCCATCGTTGGCGATAGGGACCGAGGAACATCTCCGTAGCGACATTGTACTTGTGGTAGTGGAACTTCAGAGTCGACGGTTTTACCCCCTATTTTCGTCATGTCCAAACCTGGCCTGTATTCAGTCTCAACAGGGCGCAGTACATGTGCTGCTAGACGTTGTGTCGAAATGTCGGCGATGATATTGACATGGTACACATCAATGTCAATGCTCGCCTGTCAATCAAACTCTGTAGCAGGGCGGGGTAGACTGCTGAAGACAACCCGAGGGTTGATTGGGTGTGATCCACCTCCACACCCGTGCTTGCCACAAAGCCACCCCGCTACCGTAAATGCCCTTATATGTCTAGATATAGTTGTTAGCCACTGAATATATTCACACATGCGTAGGGTCGACCCGTTGCTAAAACAAAGCAAGACACACAAGCCAAGCCCAGATTCCAAGCTCACGTGTACGCTTAACAGTCTTAGCCTACTATTTACAACAAGGAGTTAACTTGTCATTTTGAAAAGTGTTTTTCAAACTGTCAATAAAATCGATCACTGTATATTTAGCGAAAAAAAAATGAAATGGGTTTGTTATACTCTGTTGGCGAAACTGACCTACAAGCGACACGTGATATTAGGCCCCAACCCTTGTCTTTTTCAATCACTTCCCCCCCCCCCTCCCTCTCGCTTTCATGGGGCCGTGGGGTGGCCTTGTGGTGAAAGCGTTCGCTCGTCACGCCGAAGACCCGGGTTCGATTCCCCACATGGGTACAATGTGTGAAGCCCATTTCTGGTGTCCCACGCCGTGATAATGCTGGAATATTGCTAAGAGCGAGTAAAACTAAAACTCACTCACTCACTCACTCTCTCATCCCTTTTCTGTGTCTCCCCCACCCGCCCTCTCTCTGAAATAAGCTCGTGTCTCGTGGTAGAACATATAATATACTATTTTAAGCGGCATGTCGCCACATCCACGGCACAACAGCGATGTAACTTCGCCTCTGCAACAATGAATATATTTATCAAACACTTTTTTGCAGAAGAGCCGCTAAGTGGTGTTATTTATATCGACGAGCAGAAGGGTGTATGAGTTAACTATACGGTACAGGCCAACTGGGCGTGTTGCTATCTGGGACAATTGACATTTATTGTTGTCGATAACAGAGGAAGTATGCGATTGTAGGTCACATGTCAGGTCATGTGATCTGGGATTTGTCTCTTTCTAAAAATAACTACCACATGGGCAAACACGTTGAGAGTATGATTTTCGAAACAGGTTGAAATCTCGACATCAACAAGAGTTGATAGATCAAATACGTATGACAAAAACCTCTTCTTCAGATATGTTTCAACTTCTGTAAATACTGATATTAAAGCGATTGTGAAATTTATGCGAAAATTGTGAGTTGTCGTTACCGCAGTATTTAAACCACGCATTTATGACTCACTAAATGCTGATTCACCTTGTATCAGGTAGCCGAACAGTTGTAAACCCGTGGCCAATAAAATGTGAAAATATTATATCATCGTGTCACATGATTCATGACGTGTCAGCCACCAAACATTATATCATTTGCATATACGTGTTAGTGTATGCGTATACATTTCCTAATTGTCACAAAACTTTCAATATATATTCATTCATTTATTTATCTATTGTAATATCCGTATTATTATAATATATGACAATGCTATCCATTCATTCATTCGTTCGTTCGTTCGTTCATTCGTTTGCTCGTTCCTTCGTTCATCTATTATAAGCTCTACAATGTCGGATATTTTTCTTGCAACGCGACACCGATCCTAGCTAAGGAGACGTTCCCCTTGTGTCAATATTTACCAGTATTTTCTTCCATGTCCGACGTGGTTACAAGACACAAGACATTTCCGGGATAGGACGTGAATGACTCATATTATTTCACAACGTGTGTGATTTCTGATGAAATAATACCAGTGCTGGTTACAGATATCTCCTCCCCGTACTCACACCCACGCAGACTTACCGGGTATTAGATATCTCACGACAAATTTGAGAAAGTCTTAACCAAAAAGAGCCACCCGTGTCTTATCGATAGTATGTTATTGTGTGTTTTAGAGCACCGGGCGACAAAGGCTTGGCATACACAATGACGCCTTGTTCTATAGGGCTAGGTCGCTGTACCGTATATCAGTATTAGAAGTGTATAAGTATTTACAGATTAAGATATGAAATGCAGCAAAGAAGGTTCGGGTGACAGTCAGGCTGGTAAGGCTCATCATCAGCTCAGGGTCCTTGCCCCCACTACAGTCAGCCCAGACAGCGATGGGACTCCTTCCAAGAAACACTGCTTAGTCGAAACACCAAGAACGTTGCAAAGAGTCCCAACACTGCAGACTTTTGTGTTACCCAGAGTGCCAGAAGGGATGTGTTCCCGGAAGGAAAACCGGGTACTCTCAAAATGTCAGTCCAGAGATTTGGAAGTACCAAACCTTAGGCATCAAGAACAATGGCGAGTCCTGATTCAGCATAAATATTTGTGTCTTTGACTTGACTGCTTGGTTTCAGCTCTGAACTCCAGATTTTCATATTTGGACGCCTGTAGCCTGCATGTTCTTTGAATATGGTAGGTTGCTTTCAGTTCAAACGGTTAAACGAACACTTGTTATTGAAAGAAACACATCAACAAATGGGGTGGTGAATTATAGTGTATTCATCCAGATCGTCTCTTGGGCCAGGTTTGTGTATGGGCAACATAACGACATTTCCTTATGATATTCCGCTTGAATTAATTATTCAGGTGTTGTTAAATGCCAGTGCCGAATGACACCTTACATTTCATACAGCCACAGCCATGCATAATTATACTCTCTGGTTGTTGGTGCTGTTATCTGTGCCGCTGGTTAGGTATTCAAATTTATATTTTACGTGCCAAAGAGGAAGGTTATTATCCTGGACACCTTCATTTTCTCCACGGCTTCAAAGCATCTCTTTCTCACGTGCTTTATATGGATGAACCTGAACTTACTGCCACACTGAAAAACTCGAATTTCCCAAAATATGTTGGTATGCACACAGGGTTCGACAAAAACAACAGTGTTCATTTAGAACTTGTCACGACAGAAGGACTGACTGACTGACTGAGTTTGGTTTTACGCCGCTTTTAGCAATATTCCAGCAACATCACGGCGGGGAACACCAGAAATGGGCTTCACACATTGTACCCTTGTGGGAATTCGATCCCGGGTCTTCGGCGTGACGAGCCAACGCTTTAACAACTAGGCTACCCCACCGCCACCAAGACAGAAGGAGGACCATTCAGTGATGAGGAAGTAGTTATTGAACATCTCGTGGAAGGTGCGGGCTACACGTTCATAGGGATGAAAATATTCGACAACAGAGTGTTTGATACTGTAGGCACCGATCCACGCACGACTAGTGTATTACGATGACCTACGTCAACCAAGTCGGTCAGTATGACCATCCGACCACGTCAGTCGTTTCTTAATACAAACCCTTACTGTATGTGTAGCATTATCTGTGATACACTTCATCACACTATCCGTGTAACACAGTCTGTGTCCATCAAGGGGTAGGTGTAACACAGTCTGTGTCCATCAGACGGTAGGTGTAACACTGTCTGTGTCCATCAGACGGTAGGTGTAACACTGTCTGTGTCCATCAGACGGTAGGTGTAACACTGTCTGTGTCCATCAGACGGTAGGTGTAACACTGTCTGTGTCCATCAGACGGTAGGTGTAACACTGTCTGTGTCCATCAGACGGTAGGTATAACACTGTCTGTGTCCATCACACCATCAGTGTCCATCAGACGGTAGGTGTAACACTGTCTGTGTCCATCAGACGGTAGGTGTAACACTGTCTGTGTCCATCAGACGGTAGGTGTAACACTGTCTGTGTCCATCAGACGGTAGGTGTAACACTGTGTCCATCAGACGGTAGGTGTAACACTGTCCACTTACAGTTATCACCCTAAACGCCCGCTGTTCATTGTATGGTTGTTACGTGGCCAGATGGCGCGCTCTCTCGTTGTAGAGATATTGTCCGGAAATAAACCCATCATCTTGTTGAGTCTGCCCATTAAGTGCCCGATTTTCCGAGAAGTGTATCATTGTTTGCCTGCGCACCGTCTGTTCTCAAAGACTCTGCCGTACACCTGAAGACATGGCACCATTAACGGCGATAACGTCAAGATGGACGCCGTATTTCGCCCACGAGATATGACATGGAGTCTGGTAGCTCATATCGACACTGTTTGCTTACGTCTCCATAATGAAGGAATTACGACAATACAGCATGCCAGGTAATAGATTCCCTGGACAAGAAAGCTGTGGCAGTATGGTGTACATGTAGTCGGTCACACGGCCTCTGTACCATGATAATATTATCTCAATATTCACCCAGCACTACATGTAGAAGAAAACCCAAGTGAGCCAAATCTGGAATTTGCCCCTTTTTCTGAATTTCCAACCTCACTGGAACGCTTTTTCAATTGAAATATATATATTCACAGACTAAGCGCTAGTCTAGATGTATTTGAGACATTACACTGTTGGACTTGTATCTGAATCAGGGGACTAGGAATAGATTTGCTTTTTGAATATTGACGACAATTGGTAAAACGTATGCATGTGTAAGACAAAGATTTAGGAGCAGTAAAAATAGACTATTTCCGTGTTCATAACCTAACCTGAATGGACTATTCTCAAGTTATAACTGTAACCTGAATGCACTATTCTCAAGTTATAGCTGTAACCTGAATGGACTATTCTCATGCTGTTACTGTAACCTGAATGGACTATTCCAATGTTGTAGCTGTAACCTGAATGGACTATTCTCATGCTGTTACTGTAACCTGAATGGACTATTCCAATGTTGTAACTGTAACCTGAATGGACTATTCCAATGTTGTAGCTGTAACCTGAATGGACTATTCAATGCTGTTACTGTAACCTGAATGGACTATTCTCATGCTGTAACTGTAACCTGAATGGACTATTCACATGCTGTAACTGTAACCTGAATGGACTATTCTCATGCTGTAACTGTAACCTGAATGGACTATTCCAATGTTGTAACTGTAACCTGAATGGACTATTCCAATGTTGTAGCTGTAACCTGAATGCATTATTCTCACGCTGTAACAGTAACCCGCATGCACTATTCCAA